GTTTGGTCGGAGGAACCCAGAGCAGAGCCTGATCTGCCGACCTAAGCGAACGTGATGGAGCATAGGACGTCAGTAGGTCAGACAGATAGCACGGAGCAAGGCCATTCAGGCATTTATAGACAAACAGAAGGACTTTAAAATCAATCCGGAAGCGAACACGAAGCCAATAAAGAGATGACAGGACCGGAGAGATATAGTCATACTTCCAAGTTTCTGTTAACAGACGCGCCGCAGCGTTCTGTACCAGCTGCAGACGAGCAAGTGAGGACTGGCTGATCCTTGTGTACAAGGCGTTACAATAGTTCAGCCAAGTTGTAACAACAGCGTGAATTAAAATTTCAAAATTCTGCCTTGAAAGGGAGGACTTTATTTTAGCAAGTTGCCTTAAATGGAAGAAACTAGACTTCACTACTGCACTTATTTGTTTATCAAATTTAAAATCAGCATCCATTTTGACGCCAAGGTTTGAAACTATGGGCTTAACAAATTGTGTTAGAGGTCCCAGGTCCACGGAGCTACTGCTGACATTGCTGGGCCCGACCAGCAGAACTTCACTCTTTTTTTTTTTTATTGAAATGCAAAAATTTGGCTGCCATCCACATTTTGATTTCAGATATGCACTCCAGAAGGTGCTGCAAAAGTTATTGCTACGCTTAAGGGGCACATAGATTTGGCTGTCATCTGCGTACAGGTGGAATGACACCCCAATTCTCCGGAGGATAGTTCCTAATGGCAACAGATATAACAAAAATAGGAGTGGCCCAAGGATGGACCCTTGCGGCACTCTACACGACAGGGGGGCTGTGGAGGAAACAAAGTCACCAACTCTCACACAGAAACTCCTATCTCTCAGATAAGATCGGAACCATTACAGAGCATAGCCCTGAATGCCGACTGAGTGTTCAACGCGACACAGGAGGGTTTCATGATCAACTGTGTCAAATGCGGCGGTCAGGTCCAGCAGTACTAGCGCCACCATGTGGCCAGAGTCAGTAGACATCAGGATATCATTATAAACTCGTAACAATGCTGACTCTGTACTGTGGAGGTTCTTGAAACCAGATTGGAACACTTCAGGAATCTCATTTTCATCCAGAAATGACTTCAGCTGGGCAAAGACGATCTTTTCCAAGATTTTGGACACAAGCAGAAGTTTTGATATTGGATGATAGTTTGAAGGATCATTTGAATCAAGGCCAGACTTCTTAATTAATGGCTGGACAACAGCATGTTTAAAACTGGCAGGCACCACTCCCTTAATCAGGCTATTATTCACAATATGCAAAACAAAAGGAGCTATAGTGGAAAACACTTCTTTGAATAGGCGCGGTGGGATGGGATCATCCGGTGAACCAGCCGGCTTCATTTGACTGACCACCGTTGTCAAGCAAGAATTTTTCACAAACTATAATTGAGGCTTCAAGGCTATCTGAAGGGGGGACATTAAGAGCAGCATTCACCATACTATACAGAACACGAGGGTTGTTCCTGTTGGATGTGATAATATCATAGAAATACCGTGCCTTAGCAGATTTGATACATTTCTGATAATTGTGTAGACTGTCAATTAAGATTTGATAGGAAGTTTGCAGTCCATCCCTTTTCCATCTTCGCTCCGCTTTTCTGCATTCACGTCTAGCTGCGCGAGTGGACTCGTTTAGCCATGGCTCAGAACTCGGCTTGGGACGCCTTGGTCTGAGAGTAGCCACATGGTCTAAAATAGACCGACAGGCAGCATCAAAACAAATTGAAAAACCTTCACTATCACAGTCAAACCCAGAATGAACGGCATGGGACTGGTCAAAGGCAGCAGAAAACTGAGTTAATTACCCGACAATGACGCGCTGGAGCGCACTGTTTTACATTGCACAAGAGAGGTACATCAAAGACAATTGGCATATGATCAGAAAAAACCGCATAACAATCTTCCAGATTACATACTGAAATGCCATAAGCTAAAACAAGGTCCAAAGTATGTCCATGTTCCTGCGTGGGCCCGGAAACATACTGCACAAAGTTGCACTGTACCACTCTATTATTGTGTGGATAATTAGTCTGTATGAGCATTGCTAACCTATGGCTATTGCTTAGATCATAGAAATTTTCACTATATTAATGCCTATACATGATCGTGGTGTCATGTCGGTGGGTTTTGTCCTGTACCAGACTTTGGCCATGGCTGACACCATAAACGACAGGTGAACGCTTGTGGCTGATCCTCCTGACACTCAGTAATAGAGCAGAGAATGTAGGATTAAAGATTCCTTTGAAACACTCTGAGGTCACAGCTCCATTCTGCCCCTGCATAGCGCAAGACTAAATCAAAAGGACAAGAGATACTGACTATGACCGTATTTGCGCTGAGCTAAAAGAGAATATTTAAATGTATCTGGATATTTAATTACATTGACAACACTTATACACATATTTGGAGATAAAAAATTAGATTTCATTAACTACAAGTCAAAGTTATAGCATCAAATTCCAATCTTGGTAAACATGCATACAGTGTACTAAAATGTCACCATCACTCATAGTTTACTTCAGGCATTTAAACAGTATATCATTGCATTTTGATAGTAGTAACAGTAGTATTAATGACCTTAAAACAATACCATATAACATGGTAAATTGAGCCATGCTTATGCTCTTAGGGTTTGTTATGCTCTCATTTTAGTACTGAGTGACACAAGGTCAATGATATTGCCTCAGCTTTGGTAAGCCCAATGTTAATGCCCGCTAAAATAATGTTACTGTTTTATACCAGATGCACAATAGACTGACCTCATTTGATTCTCACTTAATCCTTTAAGTTCGATTTCGTCCATCGATAAAGCTGGCTGATGTAATGCAAATACAAACGTACTTATGATTCATGAATATTATTGTTTCATTTTTTAAGTATAATTATGTCTTGACAGTAAATTATGACAACCTGCGGGGTAGCCCACAGTTCAGCTAAAACAGCTAAAAAAAAAGTTTAGTTGTATCTTGTACTCTTTGATTGACAACTGATATGATGCATCCCATTTACACAATCAAGCCTCTGTTTCTACTGCTAACCTCAGTGAAGTGATGGGAGAAACAGTCCCATTCCTTTAAAATCACCCATCATTTCACTGGGAAGTAGTTGAAAACAGCAGCAGATTTCTGCTGGAGCCAAGTCGGTGCTAAAGCGGTGACAGCATTCAGCAGATGGTGCTTAAGTTAGCATTACTCATATTAGACTTGATAGCAGCCATGACGATATGATACCCCCGACAGTCACAGGTGGAAACCCGTGGTTCAAAAAGTAACAAAGTACAAAAGTAAAAGTACATTATAAAGTGGGCATGTTCTACTTTTGATTTTACAATTGACAAAGATTCTAGATTATGCATATGTTTTCATATCATGTATCGTCACATAGTAATCTAGTTCCAATTTAATGTTGTATCAAACACAATCAATATGAATCAGGAATATTTCTCATCTGGATCCGCTTGCACATGCAGGTTAAAGTAGTAGTAAGTCCATGAGTGCAAGCTTTTAATTTTTTGTATAGGAATTGCACTTGGTGGTCATACAGTTGTGAATCTGATTGTGTTGACGAGTGCAGAGGAAGAGTGTGGTGACCATCGGACATCCCTGAAGGTGGCCCCCTCCCATCAGCTGGGGCCTAATCAGTCTGAACAAAAGGGGGGTAGGGTGTGTTAGCACTCCAAAATAGATGTAGTAGGTGTGGAAGGAAGTAGCATCTGATGCAAGAGGACATGATTTAACTAAGCCACGTGAGTACCAAAACACTAGTGTCTATTTGGACTCTATGATGGAATAAAGTATGCGATTGTAATGTTTTGGTTTGTGTGTGTTGATGTGGTCTTATATGACTTCCTCAGCTGCTCATTATGAAGTGACAGACTGACAAACTGCGGTCATATGGTGGCTTCTACTTCCTGACCCAGAACCACATTGTTCCTCTTAATTGACTCTTCCTCTTAAACGCCACACAAGATGACAAGCGTTTGGAAAATAAATCCCAGTTTGTATGTTGTGAATTCAATTTTCAGATGTTATGAGTTGACTCTATTCAGTTTTGTGTAAACTTTAATGTCACTATAACATTATAATGTGTTGTAGGAAATCAACCATTCCAAGCTTTTAACCAACTTGTTTCTCTTCTTGTTTTTTCCATTGGAAGTTAAATTTATTTTGAATTATTCATATACGTTGAAGTGGCAAAAGACACAGTAAATCAGCAGTTCTGATGAAGAATACATGTTTTTCAAGTATTATGAGCAAGAAAAATGTGTGCAAATGAAGGATTGGATTGCCAGGCATGGCCATAATCCATGAAGGCAAGAATGTCAGGAAAGTTAAAGTGTGCTCTTTTTAATGCCAGACGCCATTATCGTGTTAACTTGAAATGGTAGAGGACATACTTTATCTGTTCATTGTTTTTAAAAATTGAGAATCTCATGAATAATAGTGAAATGACGTCAGAGTAAATAATAATAATCTAATAATAATTACAATGGTAGAGTGGAGACCTTCGCACATACTGTAGGCTGTTCCATTACTTGGAAATAGTAAAAGTAACACATTACTTTTTTATTATTTTAGGTTTGGTGAAAACTTTAAAAAATCTAACTTTTTGAGTTACCTTGCAATCATTAATCAACAAGCACACACATCTAGGTGAAAACATATCCCCTTGGGGGAGGTAATGAATAATCATTGACAGTTATGTCTTTTGTACATTTCAACACCACTTCCACCACTCATCCTCAATTTTTTCTCTTTTCTTTTCTGTCCTTGTCCGTACAGAGAAAACTCATCAAATGCAGACAATGCCAGACCCTCCTGATCCTTCGTGTGGGTGCACAGATTAGGCCCGGTGCACTTCCTTTGGAAAACAGACTCCAGTCCAGAGGAAGGGGCTGTGGGCTGCTCTTGCTCACCCCACCACCGTGCTCTTCTCTCCAGCCCTGCCCTGCTCTGCTCCATTGTCTGTGTCAAAGATGAAACACAGGGCCCAACATCCAAGAGCGGCCACTGTACTACTCCACCCACACAGGGCAGATAGAGGCCTTGTAAAGGTACAGTATGCTTTCATCAAATACATGTTGTCACTTTGAATTTTGTAGCAGGGACTAAGTTCAGTGGAATCCAATTGTTCATAAATGTTCTTTTGATATATGCACTATAGAATTGTATCTTATCTCCTAAATTTCCTTTGGGGTTTTTTGTGGACAATACCTATGTGAGCCTATTGGGTATGATGAGTTAATTTTTGTTGTGAGGGATATGATAAATTAGTGGAAATCAGTGAAATATTTGTCCATTATGATCTATGACACAGCTGACCAGAGAGCTATAGTTTGTGTTTTTGAAAGTTGTTTTGATGTCAGACAGGTCAGACAGTGGAAGTTGAAGTGTGAGGGGTCAGGTGGTCTGCTCTGATTACGTGGACACTCCCTAGACATTCCCATACTCTTATCACGATGCCTGCTGAAGGTCCATGACCTTTAACGGCACAGTTTATAGCTCTATTATATTTTTTGTTACATGTTTTTTTTTTTTTTTTTAGATGCTACTTTTATGTATGCCTGTGAAATTGTTATAATGTAAATGTAGTTGTGGCTCTGTATATTTGGCACAAATCAAATTATCATAAAATATGACATTTAATGACACTAAACATAGACATTTAAGAACAAGGGGGAGAGACTTTGGGCCTCAGCAGACCAGCAGTCAGAGCAGCACTAATTTATAGAGTAGCTATGATGTCATACAATTCATCAGGTGGTTTGTCAATTCACATATAGAGGCATGTGAGTTAACTCCTTTTTTACAAAACATACATACCATCACAGAAAATTTAGGTCAAAATAATCCGAAGAGTAGATCTGACAGATGAAGACATCTGACTATTTTGATATTGTTTATTGATATTGTTTTTAGCATGACTTTTTGATATAAAGGCCATTGGACTTAGAGTCCATCTTGATTTAATTGAATTCAATTTATTTTTGTATTGGGCTAAATCACAACAGAAGTGATCTCATAGGACTTTACAAACTTGTTGTTTCGTTAGCACAGATCACTAATAACAAACACTTGGAAGCCATTGGTCTATAAGGGGTGGAGGACCAATGTCCTTAGACCCTCCAGCACCGGTGAAGAACAACTAAAAAACCTAGTGGGAAAAAGTGGGAGACTTGTCTGTCCACGGATGGGCATAGAACGAGGACCGAGGCCATGCAGAGATGGGAGTGTAGCCTATGAGTCTGGGACAGGGAAGACAGTAAAGTAAAGGAGAGGATAGTGCTCAGTTGATGGTACTGATAGTTCTGCATTTACATACGCCTTAATCCTTAACACATTTATCTTCACTCCCACCGTAGTCGAAGCAGCAGCTAATGTGTTTCTGATTCCAGATTTTGAGGTATTTCGGCATGACACCTCCTAGTTTGCAATTAATAACATTGCTTGAACGTCCTACCCCTAATGACATTCAAAATAATTGACGGCTTGGACTGACATCTCTCGCTGTGAACATTAGACTTGGATTTCTGTTTGACACATTAAATCCAGGCCTGCTGTAGTGTAGCTGCTGTCATGAGCGTTTGACTGACACTCTTGTTGCTGTCACTTCGTTGGTTTGTATTCCATGTTGGGGTTTGAGTCCTGCTCTTCTAGACCTGTCAGACATTTCACATGCCCGCCTCACCGTGCTTCTATTTTCAGCAGAACCGCCACCGACAATTTGGACACGGAGCTGGCCGAGCGCAGCGTCTAGTGTGGCCCGAGGAGGTGAGTCTGTCAGGCTTGTTGTAGTGCTAGTGGGCTAAGGGCTGGCATGCCTCCTCACCACTAACACTGCCACAGGTAATGTTTTCCTGATACTCTGCCAGTCCTTTAAGAATTTCCATGCACCAGGGGAAAAGGCAAAACGTACCACATACAAGCGTTCTTTTGAGGGCAGCCTCAGGAGCACAGTGATCCTGCAGACAGCACGCAGACTGCAGCTCTGTGTGTGGAAGCTCAGAGGTGAGAGGATTAGGCGGCCACAACATTTAGAGACACTGGAGCTTGTTTAGTTCAATCAGGCGTGCTACAAAGCAGGCACACAGTTCAGGGAACTCCTGTTTCTCAACCCTGCCATGCAAGCCTGATTATGCACTGGGCATGGCTTTTCTGGCTCACACCAGTTCTCTGCCAGTGCAGCGGCAATGATTCGGGGCAAACTTCATGTTTTTCCTCTGACAAATTTGACAAATTCACAGGAAAGTGCTATCATTTGCAATCAGTCAGATGAGATTAAATATGTGACTGTGGCGCTGACTTCATGTCTGCATACTAAACAGCCTCTACGTAAAACCACATAAATCTGACAGCTCTTTACATGTAACTGTGAAAGGTCACGGGACAATGGCCAAGTTCAGACTGCCCTAAAAGCTAAACTCAGTGTGCAACATAAATGTTTTAGTCCCCTATCCCTGTGCTCTGTAAAGCAGACCAGAGCCCAAATGGTGGAGCAGAGAACTGGTCTGACTGCGATAAACAGGGCTTATCTGCAGGTCCTGACTGTTTCCCTGCGATTACACGAACAGGCAGGAAAATGGGAACGAAACAACTGGAATTCCATAGAACGGACAGGCGACTTGATAAATCCCTGACCTGGACCAAGGTACTTAAAGAGATTGTGAGATCAATGGGAAATTAAGTGAAATGTTTTCCAGTTTGAAAATGAGGAGAGCTGCACTTGAGTGTTCATTCACATTACTTGACCTTTACCCGGCGGAAGAAGACTGTGTGTCAGTGACTGCAAGTGGGTAGATTTATGGGTGCCACCACCACCAGCCTCTGCAGCATTACGTATTGTACCGCTATAAGATAATGTCGTACTATGAATTTCATGTGAATTTTTTGTAATCTTAATTTAAAATGACTTTCTGACTTCCAATTATTTATAGCTTTGTATGTCATACTGAACACTGGTATAAAAAAATAAGATTCAACCCCAATAGGCTGTAGATGTTATTGTTAATTGAATTGAAGTTAATTGATTGAAGCACATAATGTACTGATTGTACTGAACCATGTGTGTATTCGGTCTAAGTTATTGTAACGCATAGAAGACAAATACAGTAGTTAACACAAAATAAAATTCACCAAACTGACTGAAACTGCATTAAAGTAGCTCCAGAAATAAGTTTGCAGCTTTTACCATTGTTGAATTTGTCTTTCATTTTTTTCCCCTCAGTTACATTTCTTTCTGTGTTTTCACTTGGCCTGCCACACCTGCTCGTCACATCTCTGTCTGTAAATCACATCCACCACAGCCTACAGGGCAGATGGAAAAACTTTCAACTCGCCCCATAAATCACCATTCAGACAATCAAACAAATCACTGTTTGAATAGCTGCTAACAAAGATCTAATTGAACAGGGTGACTGCAGCGGTTAAACATTGTAGTCTGTTAAGAGCAGAATGTAAATAAGCGCTGTAAACCGGCACCAGAAATGCATTGTTTGGGGTGAGTTTAGGTACAGTGGCAGCTCCCGGGGGCCCCTCTGCAGCAGGGACCTGAGCAACTGCAGGCCCTCAGACAGAAAGTGGAGAGTGAGAGCAGAGGAGAAACAGGTTATGCCAGTCAAAAATGCTCACCACCAATGAATGGAACAGAAAGTGAGACAGGATTTCTGTCTATGTATTTTGTATAGTCTTAAACGGTTTGTGTTGAGCTCAGTTGTTATAGTGTACTTCATGGGGAAGTATACATTTTTTGACTTTCTTTTACCTTTCTCTGGTCACAAGGAAAGAAATCCGTCATGACGAGATTAGATCTGCACACTGCTGAAAGGCCAAACTGGACGGCGGTGCCATATTGTCTCATATATGCTCATTTTTGGAGCTGTTTTGTGTGAGAGGAAAACGCTGGCACCAGGCTGTGGCTCCTAGGGGCCCAGGTCCTTATCACAGGAGCCGGAGTGGGACAGACAGAGGAAGAGGGGCAGTGGTGGGGTTTGTGTTCCCGGGAGAGTCCTGCTGCGCTCCACACACTGCACTAGTCTGATACACGCAACAGCACCAGAGGAAAGAGTATTGTTTTTAACCAAATATATCTCACTCCATGCCATGTTTTTGCATTTAACGTGTTTGTTTGAAGTCTGATTGTACAGAATTATCCGTTCATCTTTCAAAAATAATGGTATGTTTATTGTTTATTGGCATGTTGCTGGATGCATTAGTACTATGTGTCTTGTTCAGAGAAAAAGATCAAGGGAAAAAGATTTAAAACTCAGAAGCGTTGTGATAATCTTACACATCAGCTGTGTGCTACCATTGTTAATGTTTGTATGAGGAGGGTAAATGACAATCTGATTTCACATTTGGGTCACACATTTTGAAAAAGTACATTAGAATTGGCCCTGTCAAATAACGCTGACCCTCACGCTGGGTCTGGATGCATCTCAGCATGTCGTCCATCTTGTTTTTCGGAGAGACTGGACGTTTGCCAATTTGATAGAAGGCCCGCATTTGTTCTCTTTGGCTTTTAACTAGTTTGGAAGTTGACTTTTACTGTTCAAATCGTCCACTTATGCCACTGTGTATGTGTATATTTGATTGTTTTTTATATTTTTATTTTTGTACGGCACTTTGGTCAACTGTGTTGTTTTTATTAGTGCGTTATAAAAAATTGGATTGGAGAGATATATAAGTCTCATTCAACATTTACTTCATTATGCATGTGTCCAATCCAATCCACTCTATTTATACAGCCGATTATATAACACAAGTTTTCAAAATGTTGCAACTATAGTGTGGGAAAAATAAAATAAAAGAGAACCTTATATCAGTCCCACAAAACCTTTTATCAGTCCCACAGTGGGTACATTTCAGTGTTGCCATGCACATTAGAGAGTGGAATGTCATGACTGTCCTTTTACCTTTACTCGCAATTGAGTACATTAATTTTTCCTAAAATGTATTACTTTACATTATCCTTTCTGCTCTTGGCTGAAATCACAATGATTCTTCTCAGTATTGATCTGCGTCATAAAATACTGGACTGAGCATTGGGGGGAGCCTCAGATTTGTTCCAAGCCTACTACGTCACAGCCACACACGCTCCTTAGTCCACATGTTTACATACAGGCTTTCACTCACCCACTCACTCACTCATAACCTCCACACAGCGGCCGTTATAGGAGAGAGCGAGCCAGCAAGCGTGTGTCTGGCCTGGCCCAGAGTCCGTACGGCCCTGCTCCTATTTGTCTGGACACGTATAACAAGGCTCATCAATCTTCTTCAGGGGCTGGGATTAGAACCAGCTGGGCCCCTTGTGCTGGAAACTGGCTCTGGGCCTGTCAGAGCAGTCAGCGCAATAGACACAGATAAAGATGGTAAAGGCAGGGTATGGAAGCTTCTGGGAATTGTCCGAAATACAATCCGCCCACAGAGAAACTGAAGATTTTTAAACAAACGCCTACAGATGGGGACACCTGCAGTTAAAGGCACCTATAATTTAGATATATTTTGTAGGCTATTGATGGTTAGCATTTAGCACTAATTGGTTAGATAATTATGACTAATGGTAGCGAGTGAGTGATTTGAGTATTGAGTGATAGGGTAATCTTTGTTTTTTACGCTGTGGTTTCTTTTGCATTAGTCTCTGGCTGGACTTTTTAAACAAACAATTTGTCTTTCTTTTTTTCAAAAGCAGATCATAAACATACAAATAAATGATACTTATACATTATCTACAGAAAAAAAAAAAAATCCGACTCAGGTAAATACTGACCTAATAGATAAATCGTTTGTGTTGTTAAGTTAAATTGGAGTGACAATAGATAGATAGATAGAATTTTGCCAGTGGCTCCAGTGAAAGAGCAAATCGTAGAGGACTAAGGACAGACATCCTTGTCTGGAGCCCCTGCCAATGGCAAACGGCACAGAATAAGTACATTTTCATGTTATGACAAATTTCCTACAAATTGAATATAATTCTATATTATTTTACCAAATTGCTAAATTGTACTGATTCTAAGGTTTTATTTTTTATTGAAGCAACAGCGACAGACAGTGCCTTGCAAAGGTGGCGTCCTGTGCTGTAACGGGCATGTAGCCACACATGCGTAATGCCGCTGAGTGAGTCCATTCTGAATAGGTCATTATGTAGGCAAGAAAGTCTGTATTGCTCTCGGGACCGAGGCACGACTAAGACAAAGTGAGTTAGAGTCCGAGATGAGACATTTAAGACCTTCCCTTACCCTATTTCACTTTGTACTACCCTGTATATTAAACATCACATTCCAATTTGAGGTTTTTAAACTTACAGAATTTTTACTTAAACCACTTAACCTATAGACTTAAAAAAGTTATATTCCTTATCTTAATGGGCGGTTTTAATATTATGCTCATCTAAGTGATTCAATGTCATATAAGATTTCATCCGGACTTGCTTGGTTTGGTGATATGAAAATAGTGGAGAGGATATTGGCTTCCTCTGTGGTCTATATGTGCCTGCCTGTGGTTAGTTTTGGCACAGCGCTGAGCTAAGTCAACTTGAGGAACAAGAGGTGAGAGCGGAGGTAGATTTAGATCATGCCCAGGATGAAGGGTGGAGGAGAGAGCACAGGACGAAAGGCTCTACGGTTTTCAAATTCACTTGGAGGCTTGCATGTATTTGTATCAACTTTATATATTTTATTTATTTATTTATTTAAAGGGACAATGCATATTAATGAACATGTAAATGTAAATATGCCAGAATTAGCCAATGGCTACTTTCCATCTGTAGTCCCTGGCAGATCAAGAAAATACAAAGACTAATATACGACATTTAAAAGACAAAAGATCATCACACAAATCATCCACACAATTAAACTGGAGACATAAAACAAAGATACTGGTCAGTGGTTACATGTCTGATTCCCCTTCAGCCAACCTTTAAGTTTAGTTTTAAATACTATGAATGTAGTACAGTCTCGAATTTCTGCTGGGATGCTGTTCCATACCGTGGTCCCTTTCACTGACAGCACCTGTTGACTAAACGCTGTGCGTCTATAAGGAACCACACAGTCACTTCTGGTGGTGGCTCTGGTCACTCTACCACTTGTACTGGATATGAACTTAATGAATTCATTCAAGGATGGTGGAGAGAATCCATGCAAAATCTTATAAACTGAACAAGCCATTTTAAATGTTCTAAAATTTTCAAAGTTTAGAATATTATATTTTTCAAGTATTAAGCAATGATGAAATGAATATGGTTTTTTATCAAATATTTTTAAAGCTTTTTTATATAGAGACTCAATTGGTTTTAAAGTAGTCAGACTCGTCAGTGACCAGTTAGTAATGCAATATTCAATATGTGAAAAGATCATACAATGAATACAATATTATGTGTTGGATCAGACAATCTATGTTGAAATTGAATCAAATGCATCAATGAAATAGTGAAAGGTATTTTGAAGAATGTCCAAAGCATTGAATTGAATACATTTTCATGAATATTTGTATAGCGCTATAATTCTCAACAGCTGTCGTCTCTGAGGACTTTACGGATTAGAGAATCAATGTCTGTAAATGTTAATAAATGTGCATACATGCCCGTAAATGTCCAGGATCATCACTATCCTTAGACCCTCCTGCGTCAGTAATGCACGACTCAAAAACCTAGTGGGAGAAAAAGAGAAACCTCGGGGAGGCCCACAGTGGGAGAGGGACCATAAATATTCAGTGGATATTTCTCTCTTCTTTTGTTTGTCTACGCGAACTTATTTTTCATAATGCTCTATGTTCAACTGTGATAGGAATTTTTGACCAGTAGTCAACTCTGAGTGAAATGTCACTATTCAACTCTTCTCTTTTGCCAAAGCTTATTTCTTTTAGATCAGTGTCAGCCACCCCTCCCTTTGAACAGGAACAAATGAGCTCTACAGACTTCTATTATTCAATTACTTTATTTAAAAAGTATATATTGTTTAAATTATAGACTCTGAAACCTTTTCTAGTTTTAGTTTAGTTTATTCACAATATTATGCAGGCCCTTATAAAAGTTCATGTGCTACATTGTGAAAATGGAACTCCCAGAAGCACAAGCTTATACATTAGCTTCATTGTTCTTTTCTACAATGAACAATGGAGAGATGACGTACACTTACAGATGAAGTAGAGTAAGATACACGTTCAGACAATAGGACTTGAGAATCATCTCATGTTGTCGGTAAAATGTGAAAACAACCAATAGATCATCAAGTTGTCCAATATGCTTCAAGTGGTGAGATTGTCTATTGACATTTGCTTGAGTGACATGAGTTCTCTGACCTGCCTCCTGTCCTCTGACCACTCTGCACCTCACTCTGTGCAGCTGAATCAACAGCAGCCAGAGGGTGGGGGCAGTGAGAGAGAGTGTGTTTATGTGCAGCAGCACCCATCACCACGAGTCCACTCACAGGAATTCAGATTATTCCACTCTGTCCATGCCCCCCTCTGCAACCATGCACCAAGTCAACAAACATCTGGGGTCAGGGCCAAAGCAATCAGCGGCGAGAGGGCGCGAGGCGAGTCGCGGAGCTGACAGGTGGATAGTGCACAAGAAATCAAAAATGTTCAACTTTATTCCTGACTTGAGATTCAATTTAATGTTATTGATTTCATATTGTCTTATAATTTTTATGAAAGACACTAAATCCAGAGTTTTATCACACATTAGCGAGCATTACCTTGCTTTCAGCATTACGAGCTTTTCTGAATTATTTTTTTATCAAAGTAATTTGTGAATTAATTGCATTTTTGTTGATACATTCTATGAAATCATTCATGATTTCTTGCTTTGATCAAGGTTTCTGACTTATTCCATTAGTGCCGGTTGTAATATTTATGATATTACAGTATATTAATTATATTTATACAATATTAAAATAGCTGGTTTCCACACGTCTCATTTAAAATGAGCTATTTCAACATGAGTATGGATTGGAGGTTGATTGGAAGTTGATAACTACTCGGGATCATGTTTTTGTCAGTCTTTTGATTGGCTGATCCAATGCTTTTTCGATTCACTTGATTTGAACAATTGGTATAAATGTCCAGTGCCCAGTGTAAGTGTCAACACTATGTCCTGATCGGGAGATTATGGCTAATTTCAGTCTGAAACCAATACATCAAAACCAATTTCCTATCAGCTGATCGGATTGGTTGATCCTATATAAAACCATTCACCCTCTGTGTGGAGAAACTATAGGGACTTTTCACTGTATTAATGATAAATTAGGCCCAGTAAATCCATGCTTTTGTCAAGCTTTAATTTATTTTATTGCATGCCTTTCATTCTCGATTCAATATGTGTAGCATGCTGCTCCATACATTTCAACCAACAGCCAAATTTCCTTAACTTTAGGGATATATATGCAATCCATGTAAATAAGAAAATTTAACAAATTAATGTGTAATTCCCTGATGGAAAGAACTTAATCAGTCCATGAATATACAGGTTGAAAGTAATAATTGTTTTCCTTCTTCATTCACCTCAAAGCCATTGGTTGAATGACTATATCAACACCAATATAAGCCCACTATTCTCCCCTGGATAACAAATGTATTAAACATAAAATAATATACTTCTAGTCATCTGATGCTGCTGTCTAGTCATAAAGACAGCTGACTTGTATAATATGAATAAATAGTTTAATGTGCATTTGACACTTGTTGCTGTACAAATGCAGCTCTAGTGTCTGGTTTGAAAGCCACAAGAAGTCATATTTCTCAGCAGAATAATTTCTGGGTTTTTATTCAAACCCAAAAGCTGATCTTTGTTTCCTGTGAGATAAAAGAGACACAGACACAGCCCCTATGCTAATCTTCTGAAGCTCTAATATCATTACTGAGCAGAAGTCATCCTGCGGAGTGGGATGAATGGCCTTTTTGTTTTATTGCTATTATTTCTGGCAGGGTCAGCACACGCGTCTGCACTGGGCTCACCGAGGGGGTATACCCAGATGGCAACGCTGCTACAACTTATTGTATAACAAACACATCTTTCAGTCTCCCTGCAGCCCACAGCGGCCGTGCTATGGGCCGGGAGCGGGGCCAAGTCGTGCTTTACCTCTCACCGCCTGACCTCCTCTGTTCTGAACAGGAGCATCCACTGGGCCGGCCTGATTTACTACTTAAAGGGGAATATGGTTAGGCTGCGCGTCTGTATTTCACTTACACATGGTTCTATGCAGTGCAGATATGATGCTATATGTTCTTTTTTAAAGGTTTTTTAATCTGAAACGAAATAGAAAAGACAAAAGTTTTCACACTCCCATTGTAAAATTTGACATTGCTTGAATCCCAGTAACACGTTCTAATTGGCATTGGCTTACGATGAGAAGTGGTGTGCCAAAAATACAATGTTTTCCTTTTTAAAGTAAGAAGAGATTTTATAAGTGCCGTATAAGTTTATTACTTCTTAGATGAGGTTTTATTTTCTTTATTTTGTGAAATGTAACTCAAAGCTTTATGCAAATAGACCTTTTATCTGTTCATAAATCTGTCCGTCAATTATTTTTAAGAGCATGAAAAATTGCCATTACACTTTTTACATTCGTAGGGGGTCGAAGGAAAGATTCTCTGGTTTACCAGGATGTTTGTGACTTTGTCTATTCCAGCGTCTCCCGAACCCTTCAGTACTGAGACCTCAAAATTCCTTGGGCCCTCCAGTAAAACTTCATGCTCTTTTTGGCACAGTGGTTAGCACTTTTGCTTCACATGTTCTGGATTCGATTCCACCTACAGATTGGGCCTTTCTGTGTGGAGTTTGCATGTTCTCCCTGTGTCCGTGTAGGTTTCCTCCGGTTACTGTAGTCAGGGGTGGACGGTTGTGTTTAAGAGTGCGACTGTGGGATAACAGACCAACAACAATCCGGTGTGTTTGCTGCATTGCTGTTCTTTAATACACACTATCCCAAATAAATACATAAATATAATGTTGGTATATTTATCTTTTAAAATATAACCCCAAATAATGGCCATTTTAAATTGTTCAATTTCAATATGTCTTTAATTCTTTCATAAAGCATTTTGCGTTTATGTATGAATTGTGCTATACAAATAAACTTGCCTCGTCTTTTTTTAATTGTCAATGATGAAATACGGTGAAAGCCTTTACAGTTTTATCATGAAATCTTTCCCTGAGCTTTGTCTCCCATGCCCCAGTTTTTGATAACCACTGACAAATAAAAGTTCTCAGTATCTTATTCTTGGACTGAGATTAGATGCTCGTTTGTGCAGTAAAACATAACATAATCTTTGCAGAACCTTCATCTTTGTGATAAATCCTGGAACAACAACAAAACAAGTGGGAAGGGGCCGACGCCATTTTTGTCGCACTGCCCCATTTTCCCATTTACACGTTTGCGTCCAGTCTGAAAGCAGCCCGCCCAGACAGCCGATCCATCATATTTTAACGACCTCTCGCTTGTTGCTTTCAGATGACGAACGACTATTTGGAGTTAAAAAGCCTCGGTGGTTCCCTGAGTGAGGCGAGTCTCTCTGCAGTCTGGACCCTGGCAGCTGGCACAGGGGAAAGTCAGAAGCAGAAAAGGTAAAAACAGTCAATAACAGGAACTCAATCAGCCAGCCTGGTTTCCGGTAAGTCGCGCACTCTGCTCTGGTGGCTGTGACAGAAGCTGGATCGCTGAGTGAAGCCTGGCTGCACACACCAACCCCCAGGCCGCTCTCACTGCGCAGCGCGAGGCTCATTTGTACCACGCCGCAGAAAAAGAGCCAGAAATGTGCGAGTTTAGGGCCAAAGTAAGTATTGAGAAAGAGAACTTCAGGGCAGCGAGGGCCAGAGACTGTTCCCTGCTCATTCCTCGGCTCTCATAAAGTCATTGAAAATAGACGCGCAGAAGCTATGAAAACCTTTGACATTTTTTACACGTCTAAAAAGAAATTCCACACAAAATGTTTGTTTTAAGCCAGTATACAAATGTTTGAAATAATTAATGATTAGATCGCATATAATCTAATGTAAGTCAGTTTTTTGTATTTTTCATTGGTCCATAAGTTTGTATGAGGCCAATTTGATGTTATTTTTGAAAACCTTTTGGTAATCTAATCTTTTTCTCAATTAAATTAAATGTATTCTTGTATAGCCCTAAGTCACAACAGGAGTAATCTCGGAGGAATTTACAAAACCGTTGAAATCGCCAACACAGATCAGAGAATCAAATGATTCAAACACAAGAAATGCAATGATATACAGTAAAATACATAGAGCCATCGGTCATAAGGGGCAGATGACCAATGTCCATAAATGTAGATAAATGTCGAGTGTCCCGGATCATTGTATCATCAGATTACTGCACTGTAAAAATATACGTTCACACTAATGATTCAGAAAGAAGCTCTGAGTTTATCTTCTTGAAAAATAATAATTCTTTAGCAAAAATAAATAAATACAGTATGTGGGTCGCTTTGTTTTGAGAAAGTACATAAACGAAGAGTTAAGATCTTTACTATAGAATGGCTCTGAGAAGTCTGACTCTGACCTAGTGCTGAATGATTTGGGTTTATTTGTAGTGTATTCAAATTAATCAGATTTTCATGCAAGTCTCATTCCATAGTTAAACATTTTAAACACTTACACAACCATCATACACATTTCAGAATATACTTTAGTAAATGTTTTTCTTATATTTTGATGTGAGTTAAGATGACCGTCCTTGTTTTATTGACGTGTTTGAGCTGCTGTTTTTACAAGACAAATTTCTAACCCACATTTGCAGTGTATGTTATCTTATCCTACCGTCTTATGTCAATTGTGTCAATTCAAAAACAAATGGTTTGTCTGTTTCGATCTTTCATCAACTCTCTCCTTCGTGTGTGGGATTGGAATGATATGGGCATTTGCTTCATCCATTCCCTTTTCAAGCCATCTACCTGTATGTTATTTCATTTTTGTGAATAATAATTTCATTATCATTACATGTGCGCAGATTTGAAATGAAACAAATCCTTAACGCCCTACCAGCGCCCTCATCTGGCTCTCATCCTCCCCTTCATCTACTTACATCTCAATACCAGGCCAATAGTTCCCTTTAATCAGTCCCAGATGAAAGTTATTGCACGGGCCGTTCCGTGTTAGCAGATATCAGTCGCGGCCTTTACACTGCCCCCTCTGACTCCTCTAGTTCTCACACTCTCTCTGCCCCTTCGCGTTCCCAGCCGCGGCCCGGACTAATTGAATAACTCGCGACCCCATGGACCGCCTCTCTGTGGGATTAGGATATGATCTCCAAAAAACGCTCCTCGGAGGGTAAACACAGCCAATTTAGGGCCATTTCATGCTCTGAGCAGCAGTGAACTACGGGCCACACAATGAGAAAGTAATTCATGGATTCTTGCTTTGGCCGTAGACTTCAAGATCTGCTATTTCTCCAATGAAATGTTCTTGTTTTTGTTCGGGGTTTGTTTTTTTTTGTTTTTTTCATTCTGCCATTTGCCTCCCATTGTGCAGCGCAGACCATAAATTAAAAAATAAATTGAGAGTAATTTGCTTTACACATCTGAGCTCCACATGCCTATGGAACGGCATAAATTACACACAATTAACATACGTTCATATAACAGGGACGCATGCATTAATGTAGAGAACGTAGTGACCCAGCGTTCACCTCATGCTTTGAACAGACTTGAAAATAATCAGTGAATGTATAGGCCCAGTCTTTGCTAATTTGCCAAGTAAAATAGCTTAAAAGTAACGAGGCAATTTGGTTGTAAGGACCGCTGTAGAGTCTATAATTATAACGATTCCATGCAGGTCTATTGTCGAGATCTCATTCTCAACTATATGGGAGCCTTGGAGCAACATGTCATTGTTTTTTCAGACATTTTATAAATATTTCCTGCTTGACTCAGCACCTCCCACCACTAAATGGAGAAGAGTGGAGAGCTATTCGGCAAAGACTATGTCCAGAAGCTGTACCAATAAAACAATTTAGCTTTTAGCCTCATCATTGAGAAGAGATTGTTACTAACCTGCTTACATAGCAATCCATTTTCTTGTAATCTCAAAATACAATTAAAATCCACAAGCATAAAACACGTGACTAATACTACACAAATTTAAAGCTGGGGTACCTAACTTGTATACTATTCATTACTATACTTGTATTATTCTTTAGTAAGTAATGTTTATTTATATGGCGCATTTTATTAATACTATGCAATGTGTATTTGTCCCATAGCGCTGCATAACTAACATTGTGTGAGCAAATCAGGCCACGACATGCTGTCCTGTCTTATTAGAAAACACCTTTTACTTTTACGGAAGTTACAGCCCTGTGAGTCATTATTTGACGCTATATGTAAATTAGCCTCAGGCTAACTCTGGTACAATGCATCAAATGGAAACATTTATGTTCTAATTGTACATGGTCCCTTTTAACTAAAATAAACTAAACTAAACTATTTAGGCTGTGAGCTGATAGACTCTAATTTTCTCCATTGTGAGATGAATAAAGTTTATCTTATATTTGATCTTATATGCGTGAGGTTTTTTTTTTTTTTCAAATCTTTTTAGTTTGAATTTTTACATATATAAATATAGCAGACAAAAAACTCGTACCTGCAGGTTCTATTTCACTTTTCTGACAAAAGCTGATGAAAAATATATGACTGAGGCCAAAAATACATGCATTTGAACTAGTGAAGGAACCAAACTGCTTTAACAATTATATGATCATCTGATATATCGGTCAAGTTAACTTTGACCATTTTCCTTTCAGCTATCTGTTTGAATGTTGGCTTCCCCCGTGATGGTGAGGACTCTGCCAGGCTTGCTGTCAGAATAGGAGCAGTGGAGATGTATTAGCGACCCTTATATTTCCTGGTGGGACTGTGTGTTCCCCTTGGCACTTTTAGCACAGAGACAAAACCCAGATGACTGTCCCAGAATCTATCCAAACACAGACTAAGTACACTGCTTTGGATGTGGATTCCCAAAGAAAATAATGAAAAAGCCACTGGTGGAAAAAATTGTTTCGGTCAGGACAATTCAATTGAGAATGGGAGCACAGAGCTGTCGCAGGCGGCACTTGGAGATTATAGTAAAGGGAACGATGAAGACGGATAAGGAAAATTAGGATATGAGAAGATTTGTAAAACTGGATGTTACCCATTTGCTTCTGTTATAATTATACACAAAATTGGAGTGAGGATAATACATATTTTCATCTGAAGCACAAAAGCAAGTATCGGAATCAGAACAAACTATACGACTCTGAAAAGTTAGGGATATAGGAATATTTGGCTTTGCAATATGGGATGATGGAACTCCTGAACCCGGCCTCCTCCATCTGCACCTGCAGACTGTCCTGCCCGGCCCGACTCGTGGGCTGCACCGCCAGCCCCGCCTGGGAGCTGCCTCAGTCCTGCATCAACTCTGTCCTCGTTCCGCAGCCTGAGTCCTGCACTGTGTGGCATCTATAGCCTGTCTGTCCGTGGGAGCGGATCCCTCTTTCAATGTGGACCTCCCCGAGGTTTCTCACCTTATCCCATTAAGTTTTAGAGTTGTTCCTTGCCGATGCTGGCCCCTTGTATGGGTCTATCTAACAGGACAGGACACCACAACATTTAGTGACATTTATCAACATTTGTGGACATTGGTCATCTGCCCCTTATTGACCTACGGCTCTGTGTTATCTCTTTTCACTGCAGCAGTGGATCATGCAGCAAAGACTTATGGGGGATAATAGGGATAATAAAGATAATAATAAGAAATCATCTATTAGAGATTTGTATCTTTCCTTCTGCTCTTCATCCCAGCCTCTCTCTCCAGTCTGACAGCTGGACTTGCAAATCCTGCTTGTGATTCCACCTCATCTGTCTTTATCACGGGAGACACTTGGATGGTGCAGGAGCCCATTTAGTGCTGGGTTTCACTCTGCGTCGTGAAGTTTGGCCCAGAGACACATTTTGTGAGAACGGACGGCACAGGTAAATCGCTTTTCAGCCTGTCATCACGAATAGCCCTGTATTATTGGAAACAGGCGGCGTGTTTAACATGTGGATATTGGCTTCAGCCGGTTCAGTCATGGTCCTCTTTGGGTACTGGTGCATTCCACGTTTCTGTATGAATTATCCTTTCGCCTCCATCTGACAGGCGCACTGGAGTTTCTATATTCCATTCAGGGGCAGGAATATGACATCACAAAATATATATCTAATATATATATATTATTTATAAACTAATTCTGAAGGGAGACATACATATCTTAGAAAGGGCACCTTTTCTTTACCATATATAGTATGTGTACTGCATATCATCTCATTCTGAGGACATACGGACATCTAATGCCAACTAGTGTTTCTGGGGTCCAAATTATTTTAAATATCACGTTTCATGAGATTCTTCCCATGTTATATTGCTTCTCCAGGATCCTTCCCACATCACCTCACTTCACCCAGAGTTGTTCCTGGGTGAATTGAAAGATACATTCCTGTTTCACCCTACGGCATGAAATCGTAATTATGAGATATTTTTTTTAATAATTGGTCTAGAGTATGAAAAGTTCTGCTTCAATAAATATAATCAAGGTTCCCTTAAAATGACTTATTTCTGTTGGTTCTATCTAATAGTATAGAATACAATACATACATTTCACCATTCTGTGTCCATTAACCCTTACCCTAATGAAGGGATAGGAATGAATGAATATGTGAACAACCCAAAACAACAGTGTCTGACTAACAACAGTGTTCAACTATCAAGAGTCACAATAGATAAAATGTGATAGATTTACGTCTGTATTTCATTATGAAAACCTCCTGAATAATATATATTATTTAAAATGATTTCAACATGTTTAGAATGTATACATGTACCCTTAATTGTACTCTTAATAGTCTGGTACGATTGCACTGTTTATAGTCATGGAATTTTTTAGACTACAAATCTATTTTGGGACCGTATGAGGAAGCATTACAATGCACACAGTCACCCTTTTATTATAGTAAGTGTATTCCCACCACATCCAGTACATCTATTAAAATAGTGACAACATGAATGCAGTATCAAGTTGACAGTAACAAATACGCACCATTGAAATAGGATTCTCATTGGAGATCATGTTTGTTTTTGTGGTTTTAAAACGTCTGGGGAAGTTTGGCCCCTAAGAACTTCGGGCTGAAAATCCCCCCAAAAAGGTTTAGACGTCCATGTCAGGCTCGGACTAGGTCAACATGCACTGTAAAACATAAGCATCTGGCAAATATTTACCACCGGCTGGAAAAACCTCATCAGATGATACAAACATATCCACGAAAGAGGGACATATACTCGAGATAGGGATTTGACTGAATTCAAAATAAGCATTGTTGAGTCTCCCGCTTGAGGCATCTTCTAACTATGCTAGTGTGTGAGCTCTGAATCCATGGGTTTTAAACGGCTTTCCTCCCCTCTCCTTCTTAGAACTCTGCTGACTTATCATTCTCGCCCTGCAGGCCATATGCCACCTCCAAGCCGGTCCAGAACCCAGACCACCAAGGCCCTGAATCCCGCCTGGCCACTTGGAAAAACCGCTCCCATGCACTCGCCATGGGAACCGGTGGAGTGGGTGGGGCAACCTGCTAACCAAAGGTATGATTAAAGAATGGTCAGGCTTTTGACATTGAGAGTATATTGGGAATTTTTTTTTCATTATTTTTTTTTTTTGGGGTGCACTGTGCGGTTTTGAGACCACTCGTAAATGGATTTTTTGCATGGCAGATTTTACGACCATGAAACCATTAGAAGTAGGGATGTTCTAGTTGAGCTTAAAATATGAGCCGTTCCTCCTTGCAGTTTCTATAGTTACATCTTAGTCCGATGTTGGCAGGAGTTTTCCATACCATCGAACTTAAATTTCCTTCCATTGCCGTGAAGGTAATCGGAGATGTTATTTTTGACACTCTGAGAAGCTGGAGGGAGTTCAACTTGGACCAATAATAATAGTGGGGCTGGCTGCTCTTTCCACAGCCTTGCCTGCGCCCTGGTGGAGGAGTAGGGAAGCGCGCCCTTTCTGGCATGTGATTTATGCTGCCGACCACAAAAGTAACCACAGAAATTTGACGTCTCTCTGCGCATGGGTGGTCCGATATAGCTGGACTTAGTTACTGTGCATTTAAGTGTAAAAAGGGGAAAATTGGAAAAAGGAGTATGCTTATTTCCAGCTGTCATAGATCCATCAAAGCAAACTTGCCCAGTTGTGAAGTGATTCTTTCTCAAAATTATTTTTAGTCTAGCCAATATTATTACGTTTTTTCTGAATTTTAGCTCATGTATTAAAATGTGTGTCTCTGAAGAGCATTATTAATGACAGCACATGCATATTAAGATAACAGATTTACTGCAATGTGGTTTTACTGCAAATGGCAACAAAAACTGAATATGAATTTGATTGGAATTGGACATGGAAAAGCTTTGATTGTCTGGACTTTCAACAATTGCGTAAATATTCGGTGACTATGGAATGTGGGATCAATTTTGTAGGGACGGAATAATATGTCTGCAGTAAATATAGAACAGAATTCCCCAAACCTTTTAGATTTAAATGACTCAGTGTAGTTGGGGTTTTGCAGGTGTAGCCTCCGCTCAGACCACTGCTCACTCATTTCTGCTGAGTTGCTGGAAAGTGGTTGCAGCGGTGGAGTTACTCTTATGTTAATGCCATGTTAATACCGGAAGGCTCGCATGGTCTGTGCTTCTGCCCAATGAGGTGGAGTTGTATTTCAGCTGAATTATTTTATTTTGAACAATTAAAAACCAGATGGTATTTATTGAAGCCAAAGTGGTCAAGTGAGAGTAACTTGACTTCAAAAGGACTGGATACTGAAGAATGTAAGTGAAGAAAAATGTTGGGGTCCTCAATAACTGTAAAATAAACGTTGCAAAACATTAAAGTAGACACATAGATGATACATTTAAATAATGTAAATAAGCAGTGAAACTCAAATAAATGTATTATCGCATATCAAACATTTGTCATTTATATTTATTAATAGAGGGAAAATTAACCAAAACTTGCCCAAGAAAATTACTGGATTTCCAAGGCAAGCAAGAAAAGTCTTTTGAAACTAGTAACATCATCCAACTTAATATATTCAGTTTATGTTCATACCGGCTTACTATTTTATTATAATACAGCAGCCCTAATCCTCACCATCTATTCTTGATAGATACTAAATACTAAATACTTTGATTGTTAACGTTGACTTTTATATATTTGTTCCATGTCTGAGTTTGTAGTATTTCTGTTTTGTGTGCACAGGTTGTCTTTAAAATTGAGACAAGATAGAGATTTTTTGGATTTATTAGAAAACACGTTTTTCTACATTGTCTTATTGTCCCCACCTTGATGTCATGGCATTGCCTTTACTGTTGTATGCTTTATACTGTATAGACACGGTGACATCACAGGCCTAGTTACATGTAAGGTCTACGGAGCACTGGGCAGGGAAATGTGTGTGTGTGTGTGTGTGTGTGTGTTTTTTCTCCTAGCTTCTTTGTGTAGAGAAATATAGCTTTATAAGAAAGAAGTTAGCTGTGTCAGATTTTGAGTTCACACCAAACTTCTCACAGTACAAAGGCCGATTGTGCGTAAAGATTCTCCAAAAGTCCCGAACCGAAACAAAAGCTGGAACAGTGATTTTTGTTGCAAAGAGTGGTGCATTGTGGGTTGGCGGTGCTGCGGGTGTTTGTCTAAGGCTTTTAAAGGGTGACAGCTCAGGATACGTGTGGACTATTGTTTACCTCGAGTGGTACCTCCTCGCTACAACTTCCTCCTCTCCCACCGCCTGCCCACCCACAGACAAAAGCTAACATGGGCAAGAGAGAATTGGTCAAAAGGGGCGTTATGAGTGGAGATGCCGAGATTATTAGGTTAACTGATTATCTTGATTATACAAGCAACAATATAGCCACTCTCTGTCTGAATAATGAATAATGAAAGGTTGATCCAGCAGGCCATTGCTGTTCGTGCGTTATTACATCCACCTTGCACCATTTTGTTTGTTTTTTGTGTCACGTTTTTTGCCTTTTTTACAATATTATTTTTCGGAAAAATGTATTCCACGTGTTTTTTTTCCCGACTTAATTCTTGCTTCTTCTATAGTTGGAGATTATAAGACTTTTTTCCTTATTGTGCTAAAGATAGATATTTCATTCTGCTTCGTTTTGTGCTAGAGTTAGAGATTGGATTTTTTTTTTTTTTTAGTTTAGAGTATATTTAGTATTTTGTGCTGTGTGCTCCTCATTCCTGCTGTTCTGTAACTTGTAATGCAACACTGGAATTTCCCTACTGTAGGACAAATAAAGGATCTCGTAATAAAATCTGAAAGTATTAATCGTGATCCTTTTTGTGAACACATTTTAAAATGCTATTTCATCTTGTGTTTACACTGTGCTCACCGAGTTGTTGGTCTTTCCTGTTAATGATGCTTGCCTTGATGAAGAGCAAACATGTAAATAAGAAACATTTTTGTATTTTTTTGTAGAAGAGAAATAGTATCCAGATTTAGATGTTTTTTGATTGAAGGTAATTGTGAATAATTGCTTAATTGCTGCATTTTTTCTGACAATAATCCTTTGAAATTGCCCCTAGTTATAAGTTATAGAACCTTAAAGTAACAGAAATGTTATTCCTTGTTGAAAAATTGATAAAAGTAATGTGTGATAACGTATTGCTAGTGTTGTTTCTCATTTTCCTTTTTTAACGCATGTATTTCATTAAGCAAATACAGATAAAACACGTTGAGTTTTCTTTTTGTAAGTATCAGTTTTCACTGGCTCCTGTTCCCTGAATGCAGAAAGCTAAATATTGAAATAAAATACTTTGATCATGCTTGTTGTTGAGCAAATTTAAATATGAAATTTACACATAATAAATCATTTAATCTGTAATTAATAATAAAAAATAAAAAAACGTAGAGAACTCTCTCCGCCTAACACCCTCAATTTAACTGTTCCTATCCAAGATAATTGTGACCATGAATCACAAATACAACTACATAATTAGCATGAACATGTGAATATACGTGTCTATCGCAGATTTGTTTGTGATGCAGAAACCACTCAAAAGCAGACATAAGTGAGAGTGGTGTTAACAGAAAGTGCATGTTCTTGTGCTGTTTGAATGTTTTACAGTGAGCCTCATTAACCTGCCTGTCCCACTCTCATAAATCGTGTTGTTTCGCAGTAGGAATACAGCCATCACCCAGAGGCCTCAAATAGATGCAGCCGTAAATCTGAGCGCTTTGTGTGGTCAAGTCTTCCTGTTTCCCTGCCCATAGCTATTCTGCAAGAACGCAACCCAAAAAGGCCAAAGAGGGTGTTGAATTTTGTTTGAATTCATGAGATCCGCTTTGGCAAAAAATCTGTTTGATTCAGTGTAATTTTGTTTTTTTTAGAGTCTTCTGTTTTTGTGTCTTTCCAAACAAGTCAGGGTTCCATGGATTTAATACTGTACAAAAGCGCAATACTTATGGAAGTCCACAAAAACTGTAACTAGACGAGATAAGCATTTTTTCATTGTTTATTGCATTACTGGCCCAAAATTATTTGGTAGTAGAAATGGGTCAATTGAGTTTATTATTCAATCTGCTGAATTTATGCCCAATGTATACATAGATAAATGCTATCTTCAGGTATGTTGGCAGGGAGAGACCTTTGAGTAAGTTATCAAAAACTATGGCGGCACGGTGGCTGAGTGGATAGCACTCTCGCCTCTCAGCAAGAAGGTCCTGGGTTCGAATCCTGGTCGGACCAGGGCCTTTCTGAGTGGAGTTTGCATGTTCTCCCTGTGTCTGCGTAGGTTTCCTCCGGGTACTCCGGTTTCCCCTACCACTAAAAATATGTACAATAGGTCTGGCATGTGCCTCCTGTACTGGCCCCTCCCATCTCTGTGTGGAGTGAGAAATAATAACAATTGTAAACCGCTTTGAGACTCAGATCTGCAGTGAAAAGGCGGTATATAAATAAAGATTACTTACTTACTTACTTACTATATGTACCCATTTTTTGAGAACTTACCCAAATGTCTTTCTACTACACTAAAGCAAAATAATTATTTATACACAACTTTTCCTTATTTGATAGTTAAAAGGTAGTAATTGTTTCCTAATATTCAGATTAATCAGCTAGTAAAAACCCAAACCCAAAATGTTGGACAAACTATGACAAAGACTGGACTCAAGCCGCTCTTTAAAACCATTAAAGAGCAGCTGCAAAACTAGTATTTCGTCTGTATGTTGTCTACTTTTATTGTATCATTACAGTAGTATAATCATATTTCTTAGGACCTACAGGTCAGATGTGCTATGTCTTAGTGACACTTGCACAGAGCAGTCTTGTAACTTTGCCTCAGCCTCAGTTATATCGCTGTAATCGCTCGTAAAGATGTCCAATAGCTGTCCTCAGTTCGTCTCGACCCCGCGTCCCCTCATCCCTCCGATGCGCCTGAGCTCGTGGGAACCATCTCACACTGCACAAGGAGGAGCGTACATGCCATTGTTGGGTCGTGTGTTGTTCTTGGCGCTCGGACCTGTTTTGTGGGAGACGGGGAACATGCTAAGGCCGCGCTCAGGTCTGGTTCAGTCCTCCGCGCTCATCGATCACTCGGCGCGGCGCGGGAGGGACGCTCACAGTGGGTGGGAGCGGGGAGTATGGCGTAAGACGTACAGCGTGGTGTTAAGAATGTGTCCAGCGGTGAGATATGGATGTTATGCAAGCATCAGTTTGAACGGTTGATGTCTGTTATCTTTGCTGGGATTTAGGGTTCAGGCCAGAAACGTCACAGGGCATGTTGGGAGGTAAACAGATTTTTTAAAAAGTTAGCTTTGATAAAGTTGATTCAGAATGGTAATCTTGATTGTTTTGGAGTAGTTGGGGAGTGAGGCAGTCTCTGGAGTTGGCGGTGAAATCTTGTATTGCAAAAATGTCTGCTAAAGCTGAAAAGTAAGTAAGTAATGTTTATTTATAAAGCGCATTTCACAGACCAAGGTCACACAAAGCAGACTAAAAATGTAAGACTTTGTTCATTGTGATGAATTTAAACTATTAAACTGGCAACAAATAAAAGGAGTGTGCTAAAACCAGTACAAGGTAATAGTTTTATAAGTAAGTAAGTAATCTTTATTTATATAGCACCTTTCACAGACCAGAGTCACAAAGCGCTGTACAATTGTTGGGGAATTATATTGAAATAATTCATTTAACCCTGAATACCTCAAACTGTCCCCAATTTCACTTTCATCTCTTGCGACCTTTTACATGGGAGTCATTTAAAAAAAACGTGACAGAACTCAAAGTCAAGGGCCCATGTTTGCGTGGCTCAGCTCATGCAGGAGTGCTTTTTATTCTGGTTGGAAAAGTGCTAAAACATGCATTCTCGAGCCCATGTTAACACTGACGCTTAGCTCCATTTAGTCTCCCAAGTAAAGGCTCCTCGGCCAGTCCCGGAGCATTAAACATCCACACACCCCGGCCTGATGGATGACTGCTCTCCCAGCGCAGAGGCCTCGCGGCGGGGATTGCAGACGGAATAGAGACCCCCCCCATGGTCTTCTGGGGTGAGTCGGAGGGATGGGTAAATACCGGGGAAGCAGCACAGCTCGACATGTACAAGTGGGCTGATCAGATGAGCTGACAGCGGGGGAACCTCCAACATCATTAAAGACTTCAATACAGCCATTTGATCAGTGTCAGAACCGTGGAGCACAAACACTGGACGCCGCACGAGGCCATGTTCTCCCCTCGTCTGGAAATCGATCTGAGGCTGGGTGCGGAGAATCATCTCAGTGTTCTGTTGTGTTTGTAACGTCAGTATAATAAGATCTCTGTAGGGAATCTGAAACAAATGAGGGAACCAAGAATAGGTAAAGGCCGTGTTTATTCATTCGGATGAGATTAAAAGTGCACTAACTTTAACTTTTCTGGATGAGGCAGAATTTAAAGTGATACGTGTAACTTGGTGCATTCTTCGATTAGAAGATTAGAAGATTTTAGCCTCTCAGCAAGAAAGTCCTGAGTTCGAATCCCGGTTGGAACGGGGTCTTTCTGAGTGGAGTTTGCATGTTCTCCCCGTGCTTGCGTAGGTTTCCTCCGGGTACTCCGGTTTCCCCTACCACTAAAAACATGCACACTAGGTTAACTCCTCCAGCTCAGGTAGTCCTGACCAAGCCAAGCATCAACATCTGGAGATGGGTTCCCGGGCGCTGTTACTACGGCGATCACTACTCCTGACGTAGCCTTAGTGGCATCAGGATGGGTCAAATGCAGAGGATGAATTGCCCTACGGGGATCAATAAAATAAACCTAATCCACAAAGCGAGAAAAGTTTATATTCATACTTGTTGAGAGGGGCCTCCTCCTTGTTGCCCTAAAAATGTGGCTCCTATAATCATCTATTATGCCCAGTGGGGGCAGGTCCCGGCTCAAAAGTGCCCAAATTGACGTGCGCTGACATGCTTGCAATACCACCCCGGGCCGATGGGGGTGGACCCGGAATATGAATTAGCCAATGCTAACATATAGCACAGGGGAGTGAATTTATTTTGGACCAGTCTAGTTTAGTCACTATGAATTTTTGAAGGCATCCGTTAAATGAATGGGGCTCGTGCCGGCTGACGAGTGCGCAGATGCGTTTTTTCACAGCCCCCGCAGCCATTTTGAAACTGCCCAAAGACCGCGGAAGTTGTGGCACATTAGTTAGAATGGCAGAGATAGGCGTGACTATTGACTTGAAAGAGCACAGGTGCAACTCCGAGCTCCTCCCTAGCTCTAAAGTACTGTTGCTTTTTAAGTTAAGGTTGTATTGAGGAAAGGTATCACTTGAAGATACGGTACGGTGGCTTAGTGGCTTGCACTCTCGCTTATCAGCAAGAAGGTCCTGGGTTTGAATGCCGATCGGAACAGGGTCTTTTGGTCCAGGTCGGAACAGGGTCTTTCTTAATCCTCCAGCTCCGGTCCTGACCAAGCAGAGTATAAACAGCCTCCTGACGGAAGCCTTAGTGGCATCAGGATGGGTCTAATGCAGAGGACAAATTTCCCTACAAGGACAATAAAGTGCACATTTAATTTTTTTACATACAGTATATGGTTTTATTGACTTCAACGTGACAAAACATATTTATTTTTTACATCTCCCTCCCTCCAAATGTCATCAAAATGTTAAAAGGAAAGTTGAACCGTCTCTTGAAGTAACCAATGTGGACAAGCGTTATAAAACCATTAGAGCTTCTTATTGGTAGCATACATCTAAATTGTTAGAAACAAATCATTCTCTCAGCATGCTGCCATCACTGGACATGTGTACCATTAACTGAACATAAAGTGCTCTCCTAAATCAGAACCACCTGCCTCAGCCTGGAGCACCTCTGCAGACCTCCCAGAGACGGAGAGAGCACGCCTCCTGTTTGCACAAACCATCTCTGGATAGAGAAACAGAAACATTGTGAGCTCGGAGCCTGATATTTTAATTTACACACAGGAAACTCTACTTACAATGGACACTTTCTCAGAGGATCTGCAGGAGACTGTGAGAATGTCCAGTCTTGTCTCTTCTTGGGGCTCTGCTCTGTTCTAGCGGAGCCTGTGGGTGGTAGGAGTATCAGCTAACAGACTGCCACTCCTGACCTCTTCAAAATGGCACCTCAAAACAAAACATAAACCGTGTTACTAGCTGCTGCCAGTCCCTTGACACGTTTTGACTGAAAGACAAATGAGTTCTAAGACCTGTCGGGAAATTTGATTTGGCTGTTGTCATATTGTGTTACTTTTTTGTTTTATTTTTGAATCTATTTATTTATTTTATTTATTGATTTATTTGATAGGGACAAGTGAACACAATCAACATGTGAAACACTACAACATTTATAGCCAAGGCTAGTTTGCAATGAAATTATTGAGAGCTATGAGTAGTTCTCTGCCCTCTCCTAAGTAGCTCCCCAAAAATGTAATGATCAAATGTATTGATCAAATGTACCTTTTTAAGGGTTAACTTTAAGGGTTACATGGGAGCTCTTTGAAAAAACTTTATTGCTGTATTTTATTGTTACAGTTAGATTTGGAGGATTCCTGCTCCTGGTATTTGGTGTCCAAATCTGCAGTGATCAGCGATACAAATTGAATTTCACCGCTGTTTGTGGATATTAGAAAGATATTCGATAATAGAGCCGATCCCCTGGAAAATATAACTGATAGCCCTTCAAATGTTGTTTTGAGTGTGTCCAATCTTCCTACATTCTTTTTCTATAACTTAGAGACAAAAATACTGATCAAAACATCTGAAATGACAATACTTGGATGTTAATCAAATGTATCTGTATGTTTTATTAGATAGTGTACTGTAGATATAAATTTTTTCGGAATAAGTACTGTATTTGTCAAGTAAAAATAAAAAAGTCTGAATCCGGTTTAAATATAGCTTTGTGGAACTCGGGTTCTCTTTTTATAATATATATTTTTGGGACCTCCACAAAAAGATCTCCTGGTCGAGGTAGGCTATTAACTTTTTTTATTTTTTTATTTGCTGAACATAGTATGATTCAGTGAGCACTCCTAATTTTTATTTTATTTTTATTAACTATTATGATTGGTTGAACAGAGCCTTTCAGTGACAAAATAACATTGAAGCTCATACTATATTTTTCTTCGACCCACTTTTATTCCATTAGCATTCAGAGAAGTCGGCTGTTTGGAGAAGCAAATTCAAGTTGTCTCTGCTATTCCATTTTCAATATTGTTTTTTTTCTGCACAGGATTTGTGACTTAAATATTTTAAATTATGATGTTCCTCACTGCAACATTAGCAAAGATGAAGACTTGTCAATAGGCTTGTTTCCAGTTAGCGCCTTAGCTCCGGTGGTCTCTAACTGACAGGCCCTATTTGTTATCTTTAGACCCAATAAGTCCATCTGGTTTTGGTTTGGCTCCTCCGTACACTCCCTGGAGATGTGGAGGTGCAGCGGGGGCTTTCTATTCTCCTTAATTGAATTTCTCACCGTCATATAGCTTCACTCTGGTCCTGGGAGCGCAGAGTATAGCTTCCAGCCTCGAGGCGCTGCTAAAACATAGAAAACTCAAATCAGCTGTTTTGAGCAAACGACCAGCGTGTTCGCACTATTAGTGTGTTTCCATTCTGTTTGGAACGGAGGAATGTCTGAACTCCTTGCGAACCACCGCAGACATGAAGCCTTCTTGCATCTGATGAAATGATGTGTGAAAATAAACAAATTGCAGGATAAACCGAGCTGTTAGCCATCGTCGGAAAATTCACACCATTCTGTCCAAAGTTGCAATGCGCTTTGAAGACTTTTATTTTATCTTAAACACATCTACAGACCGTCAGAATGGATCGCCTGAAATCTGAAATTGTTGTTAACCCACATTTATTAGAAACATGCAGGTGAGTAAAGACTAAAAGTATTAGTTTAGTTTAGTATATAATTTACGGAAACGTTCTAAAACATTTCACTTATTACGGTCTAACTGAGGCATGTGTCTTTAGTGAACGTTATTTGAGAAGTATTTGTCTGCATAAAAAGCAGGAACACCAAACTTTCAAACCACAAACAATAATCTATGTTAAAAAAATCTAACCTAATCTATCTGATCTAAGTTCCTGGCTGAAAATCAGTTTGGTTCTATCACTACCTAGTAGTACTATTCTTCCTGGGGTCTAACACTTCCCTCACAGTGAATGTGCATTGTGGTGGTGCTGGAAAGTATGTGTAGACTCTCCTTTGTCAGTTTACTTCAGGGCAGCTACGACGACAGGATCTTGATCAGAGCAGTTGTGAAATTAGTTTCCAATATCTGCCTTTTTGAGCTTTTAACCATGTTAAAACGTTGTTTTCAGAACCATTCACGCTGATATCAGGAGCTTAATATTTCTTCTTTAATACAATAATAGGGATTTACTGATATGATTCTGGTATTGGCCGATGTAATCAAACTATTACAAAAATTCCATTGAGTTTTAACTTTTATTAAAACAAAGAATTGGTTCGTAATTGGTTAGAATTTAACTGTGATTTGAGGTTTTTTTTCCGGCCCTTCTCTGGTATTGGTTCATGTCGGGTATCCGCAAACACTGGAAGCCACTGTTGCATCGAACTTGGTATTTCAACTTTTCTATTATTTGGTATTCTTCGCCATCCCTCATTCAATCACTTCAAATGTAAGCATATATGTGCAGCAAATTAAAACGTGAAGAAAAAAATTACAAACCAAGATGTCCTGTTTTGCTCACTGGATGTGAAATGCCAGGGAGACGAGGCGTTTTTAATCTCAAACATGATAATCCTTCCCCTCATCCATCTTCCCTGACATTCTTGCTACTGTCACATAAATCAAATTGAAATCATTGCGAGCCATAATTGTAAATCCTTCTCCCAGTCCATATAATTCCACCTCCGACCACTACACGTAAATTACACGAATTGCTAGGTTCCTGCTGCATTCCTGGTATTTCCAAATCCAGTCTCGAGTCTTACCCCGGACTAACCCTTGTGCCAAATCCAACCTCATTGTCTTTACATGGCCTGAGCATTCACACAGCTCACGTATGCTTATGGAAATGATGCATAAAACATTAGCCATGACAAGCGTGTGTAAATGACTGGACTATTTCTCATTCTCTGTGCCCTTCACGTGACCTTGATAAAATCCCCTTAATTTCAGCGAACATCCCACACACACAGTTTATTTGGTCAGGTGGACAGACTGTATCACACTGAACCCTCTCCGAAACTCTTTGCTCGCCTTTCATCTTCATCTCACATGTGTTTGTAGGCTCAGGGTTAAAAAGGGCCTAAAGCTCCGAACGGGGGATTCTTCAGCAAAATATTTGTGGACAATGTCTGGGGGCAAAGAGTCAGAGGCTTCTGTGCACTTTGGGACGATGTAATTGTGATGAATTGACTTTGATGGTGGTCGAGATTTTTCTGTGGATTTCAGAAACTTGTACTTTAGTTTGTTGGACCAGTGTAAAGAACTTGGATTACAGGCTACATACGTTTGAAGATTAAGTTTGAATATTTACCTTTGATACAAAATTAGAAATGGATGGATGGTCTTATTGCATTATTATCCATGTAACTTTGCCTTATTTATATATATATTTTAAAAATTGCAGAATTCTCTCATTTGACTGAAAGGTGCGCAGTGAGCCTCACTTAGGTGACGTAAATGTCTCAGCTCACAGTGTATTGTATTTTTATAATTTTTACCCATGACCAGTGCTATATTGTGCCCTTAACCAAGATTAATAATGATAATAATTTTATCTTACTTATATCTTTTATCTACTTCTACTTCATCTACTTATTTCCTTTACAAACAATGTCCACAGTTTATCGGATATATTATCTATTGTGTTGTTAACCACAAATGTCTGTTTTTTTTTTGCCCTAAACCACGACTTGAAAAAAGCACAAAGAGAGGCCCACAGTGACTCGCCCTCACGGTAGGAGATGATCTCGAGCCCAGGGTTCGGCTGCATCTGATTCCACCAAAAACATCCTTTCATGTCCTTCCTTTGCTTCCTTTTTTCAAGATGTTTTAAGTGCCACTCAGTTTATGCTTCACATGTTGATAGGAATGATGAGACTGGGAAGGGAATGATAAGGTTTATGTATCAAATCGGATAGCTCGACAGCTCGAGAAACGCGAGAGGACCACCCGTTTGTTTTTACTTATTCAGTTATTCTGCTCAATTGGCTTTATTTTCAAATAGAGGATTACGTATCTAAAGTCAAACTATTATCTGTACTTAAAAATTAAACTTGAAATAAAGCAGTGTATGGACTTATTTTTTCTTAATCAAGATAAAGAATGCTGGCATGGATCATATCCCGCTCTGACATGTTGATATGGATGTAAGTCCGATTGTGAGGAAGTCAGTGCCCCACCAACCATCACCCTCACCGCACGTCACTGAAAGGGCAGTATTCCGAAATGATGTGGGACTTCTTCAAAGAAAGCAATTCTAGGTATAAAACATTACTTGTATACGTGCAATGCCACTAAAAGGTACAAAAGTGCCTTTAAAATATAAGTGAAATAAAATACAAAGGCCGTCCATTTTAAGGATAATGGAACTTTATGTATACACTTCAAAGACACATGCTGAATGTGTTCACACAATGAGACTTCTGTATTCACATTTCTACATAGTGCCAATACAGATGCTCACCATTATTAGGAGTATAATAGGCTATAGGTAGTGTAGTATTTCTAGACCTTCACAGAAGGCACATCAAGTTTTGTGGAAACAGCATCTACAAGAAAATAAATAATCACACTGAAATCCTTATGGAGCTTACAGTACAGGTGTACAAAAATTATAAAAGTGAATAATGTGTTACATTACATTAAACATGCAGCTAGCGGATATCTGTGATAAGACATGTTTTGAGAATGTACTTTAGGACAACGCAGGACTACAGTAGCTGGACTACATTCATTACATAATCCTTATAAAGTGCACATGCTACATTTATGACACGACCATATGAATAAAACTATTTGTTTCATATACATGAAACAGGATAACTCAAACAGTTTCTTTTTCTTTCTTTTTTTTTTACAAAAGACCTTTTACGTGGGTTATCAGACAATTAACTTTTCTTGCTAAAATTCTCACCATTTGCAGCTTTCTTTTGGCTCAAGAGTTCTCATCGAGCAGAAAAATGAACAGCCCACTGGGAGTACATACTTTGAGATTTATGCAAGCCTATTATTGTAAAATGAATAGTAGCGTGCAAAGTGTAAGACCACACGCAACAGCCATTTACAGTGGAGGATCAAATGAGATGTGAGATACAGGGCAAGAACTAAGGGAAAGCAATTGAAGTTACAAGTACAACATTCATTCTATATCATTGGAACACACATGTTAAATAGTAGCACATGTAAAACATGCGCAGATTGAATTCTGGGTAATAACATGGACAGGAGGGTTGGTCCAAGTAGCCACAGTTCACACCAGAGTGTCCAGTCCTGAAATACAAATGAAATCGTCAATGTGCTGCTACACTGTATATTATATGTTGGTCTATGCCGCCCCCTGGTGGCGGATTCCAATCTAATACCAACCTCAACTATTCAAATCAGGCACACAAGATGATCGCCGCGATTTACATAATGTTTTCTGTGAAATAAATGTGGTGCTTTATTAAAATTCTATATACAAACATGACCCATAAACGGCATTTCTATTAACTTAATAGTATAAACAGACCTTAGTATAAAGTTCATGGTGGAGCACAGGGTCAGAGAGCCAGGGATGTCTCAAAGCTTCACCAGCTGACATTCTCCAACTGTACCATACAAAAAGCTATTAACATTTTGGTCATTAGTCTTATGACATGTCAATCCACAGAAGCAGTACCTCTTGTTGACAATGAGCAATCTGGAGATGAAGTCTTTGGCTTGTTTTGTCGTGTCTGAAAACTCCTGCTCTTCAAAGTTCCAGCGGCAGGCCAGGATGTTATTGAGAGTCTCATTGTCTGTATCTCCGAGGAAAGGGCACAGGCCGCTCAGACTGTAGGGACAGGTCAATAGATTTATTGTAGGTTAGAAATTATATCTTTTGAATAAATTATGTTGGTATTTATACAGATAAAACTAATTACTCAAAATATGCGTATAGTGCAGGAGTGTGCGTGGGTGTGAATGAGTGATTGGTTGTGGTTGGAGGGGCGTATGGCATGAATTAGTAGCTTTGCTTCTATCGGTTCCCCATGGCAGCTGTGGCTACTGTAGTCGCTTATTATGGAGGGAATGAATAATGCCATGTGAAGCATCTTTGAGTGTCCAGAAAAGCCTATAATACCAATGCGTTACTTACTATTATAGTTATGAGAAATGGCCTCAAGAGGGTATCTATTTATTCAACCAAGTATACAATGTGTCACCTACAGCCCTGCTGTACATTCCCAACTATACACGTCTGTTTACTGTGTATGTTTACATGTTTACTCACAGCATGTATGTGATGACACCCAGGCTCCACATGTCCGTGTTGAATGACACAAAGTCGTAGTTGATCACTTCTGGAGCCAGGAACTCTGGAGTGCCAAAGTTCACTTGCAGTTTCTCTCTTGGTTTATATCTGTTGAGAGGCAATTATACCGAGTGACTTTATCATCATTAGGATAAAAAAAACAGATTACAGAAAATTATTACTTTTATTTGATCGCTGCAAATAAGCATTGTTGATGAATATACAAATGAAGTGTCTGTAGAGTTAAAACAACTTACATCCTTGCCAGACCAAAGTCAATTATTTTGATTTTATTTGTCACTCTGCTGACGCACAGGATGTTCTCTGGCTAGAAAATACAGAAAAACCACAGCATTAACAAAGTCATTTTAGCTAGTGTATGTCTCGGCCGCTTGAGAGAGGTCACCTTCAGGTCCAGGTGGAGGACGTACATCTTGTGCATGTGCTTCAGACCCTCACAAATCTGCCTGATGAAAACAACTGCATCCAGCTCCGTCAGTTTGTAGTTCTCATCAATAATCCTGTCAAACAGCTCTCCTCCTCCAACGCTGGGGTGACAAACGGTCAGAACAGCAAACGTGCAATATTAATTAAAAAAATAAGATCATACTGGTTCTATATATTTTATTTAATTGAATTTTGCCTTCTCAGGTTTGATAGCAGTGCAGGTAAACAGTACGTCTATGTTTATTGTAATTCTAATGTGTAATGTTGCATAAAATATGAAATGGCGCATACTATTCAAGTACTAGGATGATGTCATTCCTTGACTCATAAGATGCATAGAGCTGGATGAGGTTGGCATGGTCCAGATTATTCATGACCTGGATTTCATTCTTCACCACCTCCTACCAAAGACACAGAGACACACACAGAGGGACATCAGTGAGACGAGACGCACAACAGAGAGGACAGACCCATGGACAGGTGCAGCCGACATACGGGCCGCAACACAAAAGGCAAACACATGGTTCAGCTGTTCCCCTTGATCAGACAATGCTCTGACTAGGTCAAATAACTGTCACCTAGCTGACAAGTATTCACAGGCTTCTGTTCCTGGTCTGTGGCCTTGTATTGTACAAGTGTGTATTCTAGCAAATATCCCCTGCTTTTTATATCTTGTGGTATGTCTACTATCCGTATCATATGAATTGGAACGAGATGCGGTACCTTTTCTTTCCCGCTCTTGGCTTTGATGACCTTAGCCGCCAGAGTCAGCCCAGAGGAGTTTTCAACACACTTGTGCACCTGGCCAAAACGACCCCTGAAAAGAGAAATGTAATGGTTACTGTTTTTTGACGCAGAACAAGTTACATTTACGAATACAATTCCATAACCTGAAACACTTTTAACCCAACCTTGAAATGGACATGTTTATAGTTGTAGCTGATGTATCTATTTGTTTTGTTTCATAGAGAAATCTTGTTTTCCCTAAGAGTAGAGTCTTATCAATTAGAACTTGAGGTGAGGGTTGGTACTCTCTATCACTAAAAAATCTTATCTACAGTACATGTATAATATTTGAAACTATGGAGCCAAGCAGTTTTGAGAGATAAAGATTTTGAAAACTAGTGACACAAAAATGATTACATGGTACATAGTTTCAGAGTTAGGAACTCCCAGCTTTAGTAAAATGTGATAATATTGCATATTTAACACTTTCCTTATTCATAATAGATATAAACCATTTAACATTGATAATTATCTATCAGGTACTATACAAATATGATGTACACGGTCCAAAGGAGTCAAGCAATAGTAAGAAGTTATTGGAAAGAGTAGTTGAGAAATTATTTGACCTCAACATCTGATGGATGATTGTACTCCAGGAAATACTAGAACACACGTCGCCATATTTACGGTGGAGCACATGACCATTTAACGACCCCACTTCACCCCTCCTGGAAGTCCACAGCTGCTGGCGCCACATTGGCGTTTAATTGTACCTCGTTTTTCCCCAAGCAAATGATAAAGCGATCTGTGTGAATTAGGACGTGGCACCCTGCTTAATCTGTTATTTTATTAAATGTGAGCCGGCCCAGTGTCTCCTCTTTGAAGACTTGGATTAACACATAGTGATTAGCTACCAGCTGGCACCGGAGATACTGTTTCACATACCGTTCAGTCCTGCGGCAAAAATAACCACCGTGACTCTAAAGTTATGAACAGTGGAAGGGGAGGAGGGCGCAATCAAACAGCCTCCAACACTGACAAGTATTTCCTGACTGCCTTTGATCTGGAGTCAATAGCAGCCCAACCAATATTTCAATTTTATGTTAAAAAAAACTTATAATTTGGACAGACCAGATGCTTTGCCTTTGTTATGGCGAGACCATGTTAATTTTCAGAGTTTTTGTGCCAATTCTTTTTTTTTTACCTATAAATACGTTGGCAGTCTTCTTCTCTGTGATAGAAGCTTAATGATTGCAAAAACAAAATCAGAGCCGGTTCTAGCCCTTTTGGGGGTCTGCATAGTTGTGATTGCACACCTTAGTAGTGCTAGGCAGCTAGGCCAGCCAATCTGCAGCATGTAGACATTCAATCTAAAAGGGTCCAGGATTGACCCTTGGGGCACTCCACATGTCATTGCCATATAATACAGTATGAAGCACAGTCTCCCATAGGGCCTTCACCAATTTGATTAGTCATAATTGATTGTGATAAATTAATGTCATTACTTAAATCAATACAAAACTATAATTGATAATTATAGAATGTATGTCCCTTTCTTGTGCCTGTAAACGCAGAGTAGCAAACCTACAGATCTACGCAGCAACTTCGTCTTTCACTACATGGAGCCACTCGGAGCTCTGGTATCCCATGCCCGCAAGCATTATGTGCTTGTCCACGTGCTGTGAGCTTCGTTTGGCACCACCAGTAGGGACAGGTTCCGGCTCCAAAAGGTCCACGAGCATGTGCGCTGACATGATTGCAATCTCACTTCTAGCTGATAATGGTGGACCCGGGAAGAGAATTATCCAATGCTTTTCTATGGCGTCTCAGAAACGACTTTAAGGAGTGTCCAAAAGTCTGCTCTTGGCCCAACGCTACGTTCCAGATGTGTGTCAATGCTGAGGGGAGTATTTTTTTTTTTTAACCAGTCTAGTTTAGCCACTGTGGATTTCAGAATGCACTTGTAAAATAAGTGGGGCAAGTGTCAGCTAATGCAAATGCGTTTCCTGCTTCGCTGCCATTTAAAAAAGCACATTAGTTTCAACGGCGGGGATAGGTAATATTTACAGTCTATGGTCTGGGATGCGTCCAGTCAAGTTTTGTGAGATCACTGTTCATTAGTTTAGTCTATGATTAAGCCATTTGTTTGAATTAATAGCATGACGCATTAGTAACATCCTAACGCCCGATTATTAATATATTTTCGCAATGTAAGTCATGTCATTTCATCATTTTGATTGCACCAGTAATGCATAATGATAAACATCAGGTCATCATTGATCATTGTTTAATTATGCTATTAGTTTTGTTCATAAATACTTCAATCTGTCTGTTATATATCCTGACCCTGGCCCCCACTGGTACTAGGGACCCAGGGGTTTTCCACTGTTTAAAATGGCTCGGAATGGCGACCTTCCTGTCGGAGCAACTCTCCAATTATGTGCTATGTCTCTATAGGTATCTCTTTTACGAGCCACATTTCTCACTACTTACCATAGTGAGGAGCGAGTTCTTTTGTCACAAACACACACTGGCAGCTCATTTGTGTGATATATGCAGTGCTCACCCGCCCAGCACTTCTTGCCAGTTGATGGTGTAGAAGTTGCTGATCTGGTTTGGTTTGGCCGACACGACGCGGTGATTGAATGGAGCAGCCGGTGGAGGGGTGGTGTCTGGACAGTGGAGACAAGAAAATAGGAATTAATGGTGTGTTTGGTGTAGAATTTGTAATAATATAAATTAATTTGTGCTGACTCCGCACATATCACTGGGTGACAGGTGCATATGAGAAAACTACTATTGCCCTACTATTACTATTGCACTACTATTGCCACTGTTTCTTTAATTGCCACTTAAATTACATGTTTTCACTTTTCTTTTTTGCGTGATTCTATCCATGCCAGATGTGACATGTGAATTTCTCCTGTGTGAGATCAATAAAGTCTATCTTATCTTAATTAACTCGGTTAGAGTAGTTTTCATAGTGCCATTACATGTGTTATGCACAACTAAAGTTTAAACTTGGAAAATTTTATAATTTTATAAATGTCATGATTTGATTTGACGCATGGCGCGGGGCCAACTATTCACACTAGTGCTTCAAATAACCATTATTTTTGATTATTGATTTGCTATTTTTCAAATGAATTAATTAATTGATCTGACTGATTTTTGTTAGACTCAGGTAAAAAAAAAACATTTGGAGGACGTTCTAATAAGGAAAAGACAATTACACAATTGATGTTTGGTTTGCAGTTTTTTAATACATATTTGTTATGTGTTAAGTTTGATTTATCGATTTCTAAAATAGTGATAGTTGATTGTTACTCATTTTGCATCGTAAACTAGTGATAGAACCAAGCAAGATTTTATAATAAAGTCATTTCATTTTTTATGGTTTGAAAGTTTGGTTCTCAAGCTATATAGACCAGGGGTGTCCAAGCCGGTTTAGAAAGGGATGCTGTGGCTGCAGGTTTTCTATCAGACCCAACAGGAGCAGAGTAGACTCCACCCATTTCCTCAAGTTCAGTCTTAGGCCCAATCCCAATACCCACACTGCACCCTACACACCTCTACGAAGTGTGCATTTGTTCGAAGTGCACACCAGGGATGGAGTGCGCAGGTTACAAGTGTGCAGTGCACACTGAGTGCAGGTTACGTCATCGACTCGTCAAGAGATGGTCTTTTTCAGACCTAAACTTTATAAACATTAAAGGTAATTTTGTCTGACCCTTTGGGAAACAAAATGAATTGCTTCACACACGTTAAAATACATGTATATTAGTTGTTTTTAATTAGAGATAGCTGTATAATTTTAAGTTAAATGTGGGTAACTATCTGGTCAGTTTTTATACATTCTAAGATTATTGTACTAAGTGTAAAGTTTAAATTGAATGTTATATGAACGCTTGCTTTAAAAAGTTATTAAATTGTTAAAACACAATGTCCGTAATTCTTCATCAGACGTCTATGCTTCTTTCCAAGTAACATAGCAAAACTTATTTACACACATACTGCACATATATTTCAAAATTTATATTTAAATGCATTTTCCCGACGTTTTGGTGTGTACCGCAAAGAATTATGGGCAATATCCTTCGCCAGAGTGCGCATAGATGCAGGCTACGGCGAAGTGTGGATCAGGGGCGCAAAGGGGGCGTGGCCAAAGACCTCCCTGGAGAATTGGGACACCCTACGCACTCGCACCCTTTATCGGGAACGCGCAAATGAGGGGCGCGAGGGTGGAAGTGCGAGTAATACCTGAAGATTTGAGGAAATGGAAGGAGTCTACTCTGCTCCTGTTGGGTATGATGGAAAACCTGCAGCCACAGCGGCCCTTTCTGGACCGGTTTGGACCCACCTGAATTATAGACTGTAAAGTGTAAACATCTGTACAAACCGATGAAGAATCTCTCTGCATATTCGTCCGCCACACTGTGCTCAGGTTCACAGTAGCTGCTTCTTTCCTCCTCCACCCGCTGCTTCAGGTCCATCGTAATCTCCACCCCATCTGCCTTGAACACAGCCCAGCCCTCCGACGCCATGTTGTGCTCGTTTAGCATCTCCTTGTCCAGGCTCTGCACATCCTTCACGGTGACCACCTCTGTTATTGTCTCCTTTTGCTCTGATTCGGGTTCAATGGACTGTGGTGAAGTTGACTCGTCTGTAGAGCTGCACCAGAAGGGATAGGAAGGTATGATGGCTATTGATGAACAAGACAAGTGGAATCTATGGCCATCATGCTGTAAGATGTATGCTGTTTTAATTAAAATATTATAATAGGGTGACAGTGGCTCAGTTGTTGAAGCATTGGCCTGAAGGTCATAGGGTCGAGCCCACCGCGGGACCTTCCCCACCGACTCCACTGATGTCTACTGCTGTTGTGTCCTTGGGCAAGACACTTAACCCACTTTGCCTATAAGGAGTGCAGAAGTAATGTTCGCTGCATGCCTTGATGTGTATACGTGTATTCATCAAACAGAAATTTCCCCACTGTGGGACGAAATAAAGGACCTTCTTATAAACATAGAGGACGGGTCCCCCATACTTCTGGTCATTAGGAAAACTTTTAATGTGAAAAACATTTTAGCCCGTGTTGGTATTAAATTATTAAACACACTCAAGATTGGACTCTCTTCAATCTCCTATTGATTTTTAAGTGCAAAATTCAATCCAAATTGACTCTTCTCCCATATGTCAGCACCCCCTTGCAGGCCAAAGTAGACCACCTAATGTTTGGAAGGCAAACATGTCACCAGCCAACATGAGCTCAGTGACACGAGTGGCTCATTCCATCAGAAAAAATGGAAAAGCCTGCATAGAGAAGATTCCAGTTTGACTGTGTTTACCTGGTGGGTGGTGGTTCAGTGGTTTCCTCCTCTTCCTCCTCTGGCTCTGTGGCCTCCTCCTCATGCTTCTCCTCGGGGCTCCTCTCTGGATCTTGCTTCAGTTTAGACTCATCTGGCAGATAGTAGACCACTGTGGTGAGATCATCTACTACTGCTGCTGCTGATTGCTTTTGAGATGAGGGCTTTGTACTCTTCTCACTGTTCTCTCGATTCAGTTTCTGCACCTCTTCTAACAACAGAGCCTGTTTCTTTAGGGAAATGTCTAAGAGAAGAAAATAACATATTTAATTTAGTGGGTGTATGTGATGTTTGAATACAAAAGGAGAAGACAGTTCACCTGCTTCTGGGGGCTTGGTTTTCTTCTGTGTTTTGGGGCTTATGGGCGTCAGAGATGGTTTTTCTGCTCCTTCTTTGTTTTTGTGTTCCTTTAGCTGAGGAAACGACATGAAGTTAGCAGAAATCAAGGATGGCAAATAGGCCCAGTATTCGGACAGTATTGAAGTGGTTCTCAACCTGGGGATCTAGACCCTGACGGTGTATACTATAGAATTTGGAGATCTTTGGAGAATTTGGGCCTAGTTGCATACATTTTTGTTGAGCTCTTTTTTTCCTAATAAATTTCATGTTCAACCAAACAAAAAGCCACATTTCAAATAAGACAGAAATACAACATTGAAATCACAGAGGGGAGCAAACATCCTTTTTCGAATTGCAGCTCCTCGTCCATTATATATTTTATTATGGGCATGTTTCTTAAGTGTATGTGCTAAAACTAGTTCTAAAAGTAATAGTGGTTGTCTATATTCCTGCATTAAAGAGTAGTTATTAACAAACTTCATTATAGAAATGTATTAAAAGTACCAAGACAGTCTTGACACTATACTAAAATACAAAAATTAGGCACATAGAACATTTGCTTGTGAATTTACAGATTTAGTCAAATTTCACAAGAATGAAATTTCTCTTGTGAATTCAAAATGTAAATTATCAGAGGAGCTTGTATAAAACCTATGGCCCCATAACAAATTTAACATCAAATAGAAGTATTACTATTATGCGCTCAAAACACAGTTTATTGCCCAAAAAGAGCATTTATAAATATTTGTTGTTGTATCAAAATTGGTATTGAGTATTTTATTATATTGAAATTGAATTGGAGATGCAGTATCGTAACAACAGCAGTACAGACAGACATGAATCCACACAGTCAGGCTGAAGCGACACACAGATCCACATGGATGGAGAAGGTGGATACAGTAAACGTACAAAGAATCCACATTTGCGCGAGGCGAGGAAATGCTTTGGTCCATGGAGCTTTGTCTTGTGAGAGGGCTGTGCAGCGCTGCGCTCACATGCAGCTTTTATGTCCTCAGTCCCTTTACTGGCTTTATGTGAGGTAGTTTTCTGTTACAGAGACAAGATGGCAACAACGCTTAGTGGGGTTAAACACAGGATGACACACAGGATGAAATGAACATGGAAGTTACATGAATGAATGAACATAAGTTTATTTTTCTTGAATCATTACCAATCTTCTCTGCTGTCTTTTTTACTTTTTTCCTTTTAACTTGATGTTTTACTTACTTTTTTCCTTGTAGCTTGATGTACACAAAACTTATACAGTTTATAGTTATGTTTCTTCTACTTCTACTACTTCCTTTAATAGGTTGCGTTCATGTCTTAGATTTCTATCAGTTGGAAGGACAGTGCCTATACAATTCTATGGGAAAAATGTCCAAATGTTTTCCAGGATCATTCACTGAGATTGATTAGATTCTCATACTTGCCATAGTAATATTTTTTGTCTGACAATCATAAGAATTAGGCAACATGCCTGTTTTTTTCATATTGTCACCACTTCTATACACTTATGAGAAAATAATTAGATCATAGTTGATATGTACTGACAAAGAAGAATTCTGACTGTTTTTGTTTCATCTGTATTGGCCCCGGAATTACATATAAATTAACTCTAAACTAAGACTAGTAGTAATCAGACTTTTGATAGTTACCTAAATTACCCTGAGAGATTTTTTCAGCTGCCCTCCTCCACAATTTCCCACTACCGACTCTTTGAGTGTTTTGATATCACATGAACGCAACATATTAAACTGTTAATACTAAAACTAAATTTGGAGCAGACTAATTCAAAAACAAGACGTCTAAAGAAATCTACAAAAGGCTGTGAGTGAATAGAATATACTAATTATTAGTCAATACTATTACAAACTCCATACTGGTATTACACACACACATGCCATACAACGAGGGGACAATGCACAAAGCTGACAGGTTAGTTTGTTTATGACATGCAGGCGAGCTCGTATAATGGGCATGCCTTTAATGATTCACTGTAGATGGACAGACGGCAGCAGTGCTTGTGAATTTATAGCTTATCGCTCTCTACTCTGGGCAGAGGAATGCGCTGCTGACCCCGGGCGGAAAGTATTGCTGTCGAGCGTTGTTCAAATTTCTCTACCAAGGAACTCTCACTAAATACTGTGATCAAACGGGCATGGAAAAATCTGTCTTGCCCTGTTGGGGGGCTGTTGTGAGGTAAACAGGAGCTGATATTTCGGGTGCAGTGTTTCCCCAGTGACAACAGTGTGATTGGGAGACTGCGAGTGACTTGGCACAGAGCATCTTGCACCTCTTGCTGCGGCACAGACTCTGGCGGCCGGGCACATTCTCTGTAACGTGAGGCACACGCAATCCCCCAGTGTTAGGCAAGCTGGCGAGAAGTCAGATTTAGGGCGTACATAAAATATGATTCCAGAGAGATTCAATTAAGACACGCTTTGAGCGGTCCATTCCTCAGCTGATAGATGTAAACTCCTAATGTTTGAATCTACAATACTTTTCTTTTGGATGTTATGTTCAGTGCCCAATTAAACATTGTAATCATTTTAAACAATTTGGTTCTTGCAACATCATAGGCTAGACTAAACTCATTATAAACAGGACTAAATCTAGTTAAGAACCAGGGTTAAATAAAGCATGAACAGTATTCACAAACATCTACGAGTGAAGTGCACTGTGCTTTGTGCTGCATCAATGTTAATCCTCTGAATTACACAAGTATGTGCTATCATGAATAGTCTCCAGAGACTTTGTGCTCTACTATCAAGTGTGCACTCCAGAATGACCTAAGCACAAGTATCTGATAACCAAGTTGACTTGACGTCACACATTGAGGTGGATGAGGTGGACAGATTTCCTTTGTGTCGCTTTGGAGGTGCAGATAAAGTTCTTTGGACTCTCAGGCCAGCTTCCAAAAACCTATCAAGCACCACATAATGACCTTCATACTAGGCCAGTGAGACCACGGCCTGTTTAAGGACCCTGTTAAAACACTAATCAAGACACATGGCACCTCTTGGTATAGACAATACTCAGTGACTACAATAACCAGAAGGCATTTGGATGAGAGCGCCCTTACGCTTAAATAGACTTTTAATAGGGTCTCTAATTTAAAGCAGCCTTGACAGTATTGTCTGGTCCTCCACCAGACAATACTGCACTCCCAATAAAGTTCATGGGGAGCTATTTTTGCAATGGTTAAACGCAGCGCCATAGCTAAGAATGGCATTGTGAACAATGGTACATAAGGGGAGAATGTAAAGAGTTTTTGAACAAATGTATGTGCTTTGAGCTTTGGCCAAAAAGACAAGTTTTAGATTAAATGAGTTTCCTTGGTTTCCAGGTTAAGAAGAGCAAGGTGAAGTGAGTCCTTCTTAGTATTAATTTGAGTTACTTGGATTGAACACTATCTTCAACTCTCAGCTCTGTAGAAATTGCCCACCGGATGAGCGAAAACATAAACATAACTGTGAGTCAGTGTGAGCTGTAGATTTGACTCAGCATACGAGAAGTATTTGACACCCTGGGCACAAGGGGTTAAATCTTTGAAACCACAAACAATGTCCAGCCACTGCCCAAAGCAGCATTCTGTGGGACAGCTCAAATTTCACCTGACCCCACACACTAGCTCTGGGGCTCTGCCTGAGCTTAAAACAGCCATTTCACATTTGGGACTATGAAAAATGAAAAAGGCTATGGTTAAATGAGTCGCTTACAGTACATAACTAAAATCCTTCAGCCTTAATGACCTTATTTTGGAGTAACCAGCCTGTTATTCAGCCTGAGGTCCTGATGTGGAGAATTTGAGTCAGAGGCCAAAAGACATTCAGAGAGGCTCCAGTGGTCATCTTAATGCTATGATCAATTTCATCTGTGTTGCCAGGAACAAGAGGATCCCAATAAGCTGGGCTGAACGAACACTGATACTGGGAAAGTGATGGAGGAGCAGTCAAGTGTGGAACAGAAACTAGCATTTCAACTAGTGCTATGGAAAAGCTTAAACTTGTAACTGGGGATTACAAGCCTGAAACGTAGGACATAGCAAACTATACTATTTGTATGTTTAATATATTACACTGGCTCTCTCCAGCTCCACAATTATATAGTGAGTACAGTCAATTGATTTTATCATCAAATCACTTGTGGACTAGTTCAAGCCCTAGTGTAATATTGGATTTGCATGTTGCCATACAAATAGTGAAAGCAGTTTGACCCATGTCATCATAGAGTAAAATGTTCATGAATCACACTGATCTCACTAACTTAAGATACAGTTGCATCTTACTGGACTTGCTGTATATATAGCATGACATCCTAAAGAACCATTGCATGACTGCAGTCCATAAAGCAATACTTTTGAAATGTTGAAGACCGTTTTAGTTTGGTCTCTGCACAAAGGGTGCTGCTGCCTCACCTTGGCGTCTGCCTTCTTTATCACCGCATCTGCTGAGGGTTTCTTCTTGGCCACCTTGGCTTTACTATCCTTAGGTTTGAATCCTTTGCGAGTCACTGGTCCCTTGAACATGAGTTGCATGACCCTGGAGCTCTTGACTGTTTCCCCGATAAAGCTGATGACCTGCTGCATACTCAGCACCAGCTTCTCCATCCCGTCCAGTTTCTGGGCCTGCTGTTCCGAGCGCTGGTTGACCACAGACACGATGGTGCTTAGCTCCTGACAGATGTCCCGCACCTCTCGCCCCATCAGCTGCTCCACCATTTTGGGTGCGGTGCTGTTTTCCTCTTCTGCCTTTTCCGTGCTCTCCATACTGTCCAATCTGTTTAGAACCTTCTCTTGAATGTTGATCAGTGTATCCATCTTGGTGCTCAAAGACTCGATCCGGTTTTGGATGAGGTCGAAGCTGACGTTGTGGCCGTCTTTAAGGCCGCTCTGGTTAATTCCCTTTGAACTCATGGCTTAGTGTGAGTAAATATCACATTAAGACACAAACAAATGCAGGACCAGTTACGTCCCTGGAACAAGTGAGCGAGCAAACAGCGGCCAGCTCTCCCAAAGAGTTTCCAACCGATACGGTGATAGTCCAAATGAGACAAACGTTGAATAGGCTCAGGATTTGTGCTGATAATTAATTGAGAAAGCCCTGATAGAATCTTTCCCTGGGGCCAGCCTCTCTCCGCTCTAGCAGTGGTATTAAGAGCGGAATGAGCAGGAGTCCCTAAATGTAAATGCAGGACCCACGTCAGCATGGGGTCAAGTGTTTGGGGTGGGGGCTTGGCATTGCTTGGAGCACCAGACATTTGAGTGCCAGAAGTGTTAAGCCCACCTCCGTCACCGCGCCGAGCTGCTGGCTGTCAAAGTGGGCACTGTACACAGCTATTCTTTGGAATCGATACATGTGTGACAACAATCATTTATTAATATGAATCGAAAGGTGGATTAGACACAAAACAACTAGACAGGTTAAAATGAATGAATGAAATTGATAATTGGCTCAAAACACTGTAAAAAAAAAAAACATTCTTTTCATTCATTAAACAAGTAATAGTTATGCATTATTTGAACAATTTGTATGATTTAAAATGATTATGAGATTTACTTTGTCATTGGACTTTTACTTTTACTATGAAAGTGGAAAATATACCATGAAGCAAATATAGATAAAGGGTAAAACATTCTTTCTTTCTGTAACTTCATATGCAGCCTCCAAATGTGAAAATCACCATCTGTCAAACAGTGATTATGAAGATCGCCCTTTCACCTGATAAATTGCCAAAAGGAAAAAAATGGGCAATACTTTTGTTTGAAAAGGCAGAAAACTGTTCGGAGCGTGAGACAGACGTTTTAAGCTTTTAGACAGAAGGTGCGGAGTTACATGCTTGTACCAGAGGTTCCTGCTAGGAGCCTGGATGGATCTAAAGACGTCTGGTCTTTTTTTGATGAGGGAAACATTTTGTATTATATGTATCCATTGAGAAATAAAAAATACAATGGAATTTTTCCAATTATGGGAAAAAAAATTTCATTGGGATCTGGTGACATGCCATCTTCAGAACATTTCAATGTTTAAAGTGATAGTCTGTAACTCTAAATTAATTATAAATGTTAGGAAATGTGATTGACCTCCTGGCCTTAAATGTTGATATAAAATAAGTCATTTTATTAATTATAATATTACGGGCAAGTCCCTGCTCTTAGCTATAGCTCAGAATCCACGGTGCCGTCGAGGTTTAACCAATCGAGTCATGCCAAGGGCTGTCAATCATCGGCGCTGATGCTCGCAGCTGCGCGCATGTGCAGTTGTTTGTTTTCGCGGAGCCTCCAAATCAAGCCTCTATTAGGCTCTGGAACTACATGAAAACTGAACAAAGAATTCTGAACATCCGCGCTGAGGGACTCATTTATATACTGAACCTATATCCATAATCAGGTCCTCTGCAGATGTGTCCTATAATGTGCAATTCATGATAATAGCACTTCCTGGTTTGCCGCGATTGCTTTTTTTGTGCATAAAAACATTATTTTTTTCATTAAAACGTTAACAAATAATTCTGAAAACCTACGTGCATGTGTATTAATAATGTATATGTATAATGTGTTCTCTGATAAACATTTAAAAGTGTTACGGAAACGTAGGTGTAGACCAATCAGAAAGGAAGGGGGAGGGAGCTTGCGTCGTTTCTTTCAAATCAAGCACCTCTCTGTCTCTCTTTCTGGCAAACTCCAGACAATCACTTTAAACAATACAACTACTTAAAAAACATATTTTTTCTTGTTTGACTGTGATAGATTTATTTTACAGTAGAATGGAGACTATCCTCATGAAAAAACTCCCACACCCGAGGTTTCAATTTCAAGTTTGCTTGGGATAAAAATGTATAAATGTAGTTATTTTTAGAGGTATTTTTAAACATAGCACATTGTATACACAAACTGCCGCACAACATACTTAACTAAGACAGTGCTTTAATAAAAAGACAGTTAACAGATGGACACATCCAACTGTCTACAGAAGAAAAAGTCAGAAAAAGTGAATCTTTTAACCATATTGTTACTCATAATTCTTCTTCACAATGATAGGGAGAGCCGACATCTAAGAGTAAAAAAATCGACAGCGCTATGAACGCTGTGGTAACTTTTCTGACACCTGCTTTTAACCCAAAAATTCAGAGGGATTGTGAGGCCCGCTTTTTTCACGGCCTGTATTCATATATTTGGACACCTACGTTACAAGTGTACCGCCCCGTTAAACTCCCCACCTGACATTTTGTACCTGGAGCAGGTTATTAGTTTCTCCTACTTGCAGTTTTTACACAAGTAATGGCTAGAGACTACACACAAGTCCATAAGGCACAAGTCAATCAAAAATATATAAAGATTACAGACTGGAGGGCTTTAAAAACAAACATATGGACAAAGCCAGACTAATGCGTAACAGACTCATTATTCCAGCCCTGAATTGGGATATGAACTGCTGTAGCCTGAGAGAATATGAAAAGTATTCTCGAAATCTAATGTTTCTACTACAGTGCCGTTTGCCACTTCAGCTGTAACTTGCTCCATGTGCTCTGGGGAAATTTAAGAGGCGCGAGGGTGTTGGCAAAGACCACAGGGTCAGAGGTTCTTCAGCAGAGGAGACTTATAGATGATTTACCACAGAAACAACACCTTGGAATATCTGCCGTGTTTCTAATAACTGGTTTAATTTATACTTTATATGATTTACTTTGAATTGACATCAACTCTATACATTCCGACTGTTGCATGGAAAACTGACAAAACATGACAGACAACAGGGACAGCGTGCTAGCAACACATACAGATACTAACACATTATGTTTACAGTTGCAGTGAATATTTTAAAATATTCTGTTATTTCAACTGGATCACACTTGAAAATGGTTTGATCTTTACAAAGCAAGCACAGAATATAATACATTCAGGAAGAGTTTTTTTGTGCGGAGAAGAATTTCAAATTGTTAGTGAATTCAAATATCTGAATGTGAATGTGAATATGCCATTGATTACACTTGTGCTGCTAGAATGTTTTTGCCCTGCAAGATTTTTCCACATGTTGAGTATTGTGTCACAAGCTGGTCTCTTACCACTGCTATTACTCACAAAATAATTGAGTCACTCCACAAAGAAATCATAGAATGTGAATGTTTTGGAGCCAATATATAATTTTGCATGTGGTTTCTGCAGAGTGGACGCTGTAACTTCCAATTTTTCAAAAATAATCACCAAAATGAGTTAAATGTTGACTGATTACCAATGACTTTAACTAGACTATAAAAATCACAACCTATAAATTGGTACGTCCTTTATCCGACATAGAACATGGGAATCCCAGTATTGTAATGGAATCAAAATGACAATTGTACTGGCTGCAATTTGCATATTCAGTAATTAGTCAGATTTCCATTATAAACATCCAACTATATTGTTGCATATTTTAAAAATCAGTCTTTTCTGGTGTTCAGAGCAATTGTCAAGAAATAGGTTTATGAGAGCAATTAAGTAGTATTTATCCGATGATTTTGAGTGCATTTTGACCGTTTAATAATTAGATCTACAAAAGGCAAGGCCAGTCAAATGTATTTATTTTATTTGAATGGGACGTGTATGTGTATTAATGAACAGCTATTTTTAGAGGTGGGGGAAACTGGAGCACCCATAGGAAACTTTAGACAAGGGGAGAACATGCAAACTCCATTCAGAAAGCTACTGTGCCACCCGGGACTTGAACTCAACCTGCTGGGTCACTCATAAGTAAAAACAAATATGAAACACATTTTTGTCATTTTCACAGGGAAATATTGTTGAATCCAGATAAACATGACTCACTTCAAGAAATGTATCTAATTTAAGTTTCAGTAAATGAATTTTCTTTGTGCATTTTGAAAATTATTATCAAAATCAAAATGGAGAGTTGAATTGTAATTGTCGTGTTTATTTCAAAACCTTTCTGCTTTGTTCAAAATTTTGTATACAGGCCTACTTTTCATTAAAAAGACAGGATACAAAATTAAAGTCCAATCATGCTCCTGCTTGATAAACAACAATTTCCTAAATAATATTTTGTGTGCATGTGCGTTTGTGTGTGTGTGTCATTGGCTGTTATGTGTCTTGTTGGAGGGTATTGTATTATATTGTATTATGTTTTTGAATGGCTGGGAGGGGATTGAATAATTATTTATTTTTTCTGCATGTTTGAAATAAAAATTTTCTGCATCAAAAGTTTCACCAACATGAACTACTACCAACAGCGCAACGACTCGCTGCAAACCGATCTCCCATGACCCGAGCCAAACTCCCTGCTCGGCCCCAAGTTTCCGGGTTCAGAGGCGCAATGAGCAGCAGAGGGTGACAAGTTGCCAGTCGGGGTGTGCTCTGTCAGCTCATGTTTGAAAACAAGAAACGCCAATAACCTGGCATCTTACTCATGCTACTTCAAGAGTCCGGCGTTGGTGGAAAGAGTTCGGAGTTGGTGGAAAAAAGCCTTCGGTCTGTGTGGCCTTTAATGGTGCTATCCTCCAGGGGTCTATCAAACACACACACACTTTTTTTTCTATCAGCCGCGCACAGGGGGCTGCTGCTGTTACAGTGGAAAGAACAAGTGACGTGGCCGGGACACATGGGACTGAGAGCCGCTATCAATCACCAGGCGGGGGCAGAGACGCGCACCTGTCCCCGGATGCCAGCAGATGACAGACAACGGAGGTCATTTGCAGCTTGTTGTGTCGGTTTATCAGGCCCGGAACGGCAGCGCTCGGGTCCTGTCGTGTGGACGAGGCCGTGTTGTGAAACGTGGGATTATGAAACATGCTATTGTCAGTCAGAGAAGAATTAGCGCTGTTGTCTCGGTGCTACTGAATTCAAGGGAATGTGAATAAATGATGGAGAATTGAACCAATGCATTGATATACATATATTTTTTTTTAAGTGTTAGTCAA